CCGTCTATATCTTAAATTTTAACAATGCAATAAGTACTTACGTGAACCTAAGATTACTATTATACGAATCGAAATCAGATTATACGAAATTTCGATTGGCATTCAAAGAATTATTAATAATAATAAACCATTCTAGGCTTTTTTTATAGAACAGGGGGCAAACGGGCAGGAGGCTCACCTGATGTTAAGTGATACCGCCGCCCATGGACACTCAATGACAGAGGGCTCGCGAGTGCGTTGCTGGCCGTTTTTCTGCAGATTGCATCCGTTTATTTTTATTTTTTATAGACATGTAGGTAACCGGCTCTCTGTGCCTGACACATATTTTTAGGTTTTTATGACGCGCCTCACGATTTTTGCCTTCACAATAAAGAAATATGGATCTCATGGTTGACCGTAAGATAGGCCACTGGCCAAAGATGTTTCACTAATACGTATTTATGTTTGTTACATAACGCGAAACAAACTATCCCGTTAAATATCTTGTCAAATATTTGTTTTGCTATATCAGTATGGATATGTTTGAGCCACTTCAGCTCAATACTCCGAAGGTCGACTCAACGAAGCAGTAACAAAATTTGCGATTCAATGAGCTGTCGCTGCCGGAGACGTATTGTTATTGCACTGACACTTCTAACGAGAGTAATCCTATTTACTCTTAAAGGTCCAATGAGCGCAAATTGTTTATTCGGCTTTTGTGAGCATTTCACACTGCTATGAGTAATGGAAAACTGAGGCATATTTTTACAATTACATGGCTATTTTCAACAATCGTAGTAAGCAAGAGAAACTGTATAAATCGAATCTAATATTGTAATTATAAATACTTGCGTTTAATTTATTTAAATATTTGCTATAAATTAACTTAAATATTTTTCGAATATTAATGTCATAGCTTAATAAGGCCGTAAAAAATATTTTATACTAGCTGGTGCCCGCGACTTCATCTGTCCTGTCATAATATCTGTCCAAATGATATAACGTCAAAGACATATTTTATCTACTTTAAATACCAGAAGCGATAAAAATATCTATTTTCATTTAGGAATCAATTTATTACTACCAAATGTGCATTTGAAATAAATTATAATTTTTTATTGTAGTTATGGGTCACTATTTTGGCTATAATGGCTTACACATAAGACATAGATATGTACTGTGGCAGGCTTTTTTGTAGGACTATTTAAGATAAACATTTCCACCATGCATTAAATATTTTTAACTCTAGCGGTTTTGGCAGCGCACGCCAGAATAGCTAGGAGATGGTAGATTTTTTCCTACTTAATGGATATTTTGGACAATTCACACAATATCTTCATAAATATGTAGCCTATGTGTTATGCTGATGTATAAGCTATATTATTGTAAAGTTTCATTAGAATCCATTCAGTAGTTTTTACGTGAAAGAGTAACAAACATCCGTCCATATTTACAAACTTTCGCGTTTATAATTTTAGTAGGATAAATTAACTTACATATTTTTCGAATGTTAATGTCATGGCATAATTATATCGTAAAAATATTTTATATACTGCTAAAAGTATTGTAATTTCATAATATAATGTATCAATGTATTACATAAAGAGTTCATGTATCCGCTATATTGCGATAATTGAAGATTGAGCGGTTCTTATATAGTACATTAAAAGATTTTCCCAAGACTTTCATAGTAAATATCAAATGACGAAGAACGTGCACTTATAAGGCGAAGGAAATGAAAGTGTCTTCCTTCTTACGAGCCCCTTATTACTTCCTGTTGTCTTTTATCTTAAGAACACATTGTTTACCACTTAACACCACCATAGTATTATGTTACCAGACATGTCACAATGAATATAATAAAGTAGTAGCTGACCCGGCCAACCTTGTTTTGACATATAATGCTTATTAATTATATTATTAAAAACAAGATTTGGTGGTGAAAGGGTAAATATATATTACGGTATTTTAATGCCAAATAAAAAAAATAACTTGAAAGTTGTAAACAAAATGAGATGGATACCCCTAAATTTAGGGGTACAAATGACCTACCTGAAAAATGACCTGCGTGTTGTAACCACGAGAATGTAAAGCGTGCTCTAAATTCACCATGCCTCCTGCTGATAGAGGACAAATATTTGTTTTTAATTTGTTTTATTATTATTAATTAACTATTTTTTACTTTTGATGTCATGTGGAACATACACCATGTTGTGTTGTTGATTGCAGCTCCTTACAAACATTTTGTTAAAAAAAGCAAGGCAATTAAAACGAGGGGCGGAGAGTTAATTGCCAGTTTTTCACGTCCGTTCTACGCCCTTGATTTGAGAACTAGCAGTTAATGTAAAATTAGAAGCATTAAATATGTATTTCTTTATTGACGTTCATAAGTGTACATTGTGTTACCTAAATGAATAAATGATTTTTGAATTTTAATTTGAATTACCGAATACACACAATTAAATGACACCAGTAAACATCATCAGTCAATTGGGCAACCTTGAATAAGACAATATGACGTTATAATTTTATTGATTTAGATTACTTTTGGTTAATACATTAAAACTTCTTTAAAAGGTATAAAATAGCATGATGAGGTTTTATAGTGAAATACATTTTTATTTAATAGTAATATTTTTTTCTTTTCAAAGTCAGTAGGAGATAATTCGCCTAAGAAAGCTTGAACAATTTTGCCGAGTGCCAACAGTATGCGCCAAGAAAGTAGCTTTTGAAGTACAGTTTACAAAATATTTACATCCATTAAAAAGGACTGAAGCGTTACTTTAAAAATTCCTTTGAAAATACATTCAGTATTTGGGGACGTGTCCACAGGGATGTGGATTAATAATTTATAAACACATTAGCGTCTTTTATTGTTCGGGTTACTAAGGGCCTTGGCAAACTGGTAAAGTACTAACGAAAACTAATTATAGTAAATGTCATGTTAGCTGTCTTGTATGTATGACAGCGAGTAAGATAGTTTAATAAATAATAAATTTATGTCATGTTATTTTTTTTTTATTAATATGACAGAATTGTATTTTTAGTCCCAAAAATATTTTTATTGGAAACCAAATAACCAAAACGTTTTAATTTAAGGTCTATTTAAAAATTTAAAGAACCACATTTAAATTATTTAATTTTTAAAATTACTTGAAGGCTGCCACCCTTTTTTGCAGTTAAGCAAAGATCGGTATTGTTTAAGCTCATAAACTTTTTGCTTGAGGATTCAAGATAACAAATACATCAATGATTGGACAAACACAATGAATCATATATAATTTTACTCAGTCATAGACATAACATTTATTACTCACAAAACACACAAAATAATAATAGTAAAAAAAATAAAATATAATGAAAGATAACAATTTTTTTTATTAATTAAGTTGATAATATAGAGAGATAAAACAAATTTGCAAAAAAAAAAAATTATGCCCGCCATATTGCGATGTACATTTATTTTTTCCGTTTAACCAAGGCTTAAGAAGGCAGGCGTCGAGGCTGTCCCGTGAGAGTTGGTGCCATTATAATAGCAGTGTTTTCATTTTCACGTTTAAAAGCTTTTGAAACTTAGAGACTATTTCGTCCGCATTAAAGTATGGGAGGGCTTTAACATCGTACGAGTATTCTTGCGTAGCACGTAGACCACAAAAAGAAGAATTCCTAAAGCATTTGCGTTCTTCGTTGCTAACAGGTTGGTCTTGCACAACTAATTTAATCTTTGACTAGGCTTAGTGCCTTGATTAAAGGCTTGTACTTTAACAGCTTCAATACAATTATTTAATACAGCAGATTATAGTCGCAGTTTTAAAAGTATGATGATGTAGCTGCCCCCGTGCAAACTTCGTTTCGCCATAATATGATTTTTTATACCTTTTAAGTTACTACATACAAATATATTTTGCAGTCCTACCCAATAGGGACTGATCACTTTTCCGGAAATAAATTGGTCCAGCCAATCGAGTTTTGCGCTTAGCAATATGTTTTGCGATTCATTTTTATTTATATAATTACAGTGGTACCTGTTTACGAGTACGAGTTTTCGTTCCTTAACCTTGCTCGTGTCTCAGAGCAATTTTCCCCATTGAAATTCCAGCGCAGTCCGTACCAGCTCCTAAAAAAACATCTCGGTTGTTTTTGTTAATTGTTTTTTGAAACATTTATTTATGAAAACATATTTAAAAAAAGTAAAGTTCTTACGGAAACGCTTCACTTTGTTCGTCACACTTTACTCATTTTCACCTGCAGATTGTTTAAAAAAACTGTCCAAGGAGGTTTGTTTCTTCCACTCTTTAATGAATCAGGCAAGTTTCGTTGAAAAATTTCGATCACGACCAGTTGCAACATTTTCGGAGTGATTTTTATCCACGAACTCTACAACTTTCTCCCACATTCCCAAGATCTCCTTTATGCCTCTTGTAGAGATAACCTCCTCTTCAAAACTATTTTATTGTTGAACCACCGTATGCTGCTGAGAATGTAGATCGTGTTGGTTGGTACTCCTCGGTTGTCAGCTTCTGAGACTGTTCCTCAACGAGTTCACATCTCTCTCATCCACCTCTAGGCCATATTTTCTCAGAGAAACCATCTCCTCTACCACGCACACTTCAGGTTTCAATCCATCAAAGGCCATTTCAGCTACAGCCTCAAGCCACAGCTTCTACATGCAGAGGTTAAGGTCTCGTAATAACCAGTCAGGCCTGATCAAGATGTTAAAGTGGTTTTTCCAGAACTCTCAAAGGGTAAGGTTTGTGTTCTGCGTCACCTCAAAGCAGCACGCAACAATGTCCTCGTACCACAAATCTTGTTCTCATCGCATAGCAAAATATCGCTCGGTCGGCAGCTCGTATTTCAAAACAGCCGTGTATTAGGGTACTATAACATCGATATATACCATAAAAAGTTAGAATTTAAGCCCAACTTTAACAAAGAAGACTGCCAATTGTTTAATTGCTTTGATTAATAGTAACATAATACGCTAAATTTAAAGCTTTTAGCTAGGGTATCAAGTGAATGAAATGTATCCTCGAGGTTGTAAGGATTCTAAATCAGAACGGTAACTACGTTTAACCTTTTTTCTTTCAATTCAATTGGGTTAAAGAGTGTTCAATTACTACCAAAAAAAATATTTGTTTCAGTATATATATCTTACAGGCCGCTAGTTAAACAGCGCCGTTTAGTTAAAAGGCTAGGCTGTAAATTGATCGGCTAATTAAGCTAGTTGGCTGCGACATATTCATTAAGAAGGTTAAAGAAAAAACTTTTTTGACCGGATTAAAGTTATGTATTATTATAAATTAACAAAAGTTTTTTCTTTAAATGTGTAAAGGTTATGTCAATCAAAGACAATACTATTAAGAAGACAATACTACTAAAATAAATTATTCTTATTCTTATTTTTGAATGGAATAACAGTAATAGGTAATTTTTCTTTAATTTCATTTGTTCAATTTACACGTCCATACGTAAACATTCCAACCTAATCTATAAACTGCTAGCATTTTTTTGATGTATCGTCCCCGATAACAAAACTTTTCAATCTAGTTGAAAAAAGCTTAACGCAATTAAAGTTCGAATCGAATGGTTTTTGAAATTGAATGTCGAATTTAATCGACTAACGATTCGTCGACAGGCGACTGCTATATCACTTTATTTTGATTTTGATTGAAATATCACTCGGCATTCGAAGGGCTTTGTGTCTATTATTCAATCTGTGGCTTTGTGCTGGTTCAAAACGGATTACTTTAACAGATTTAAAATTTAAAGGACAAATGGTTGCCGCATCAACAATCGTGAAGCAAATACGAAATTATTTAAAATTTATTTAAGGGTTAATCTAATGATCAGATTCTGACGAAATTTCACTAAAGAATTTTTACAAAGTTTGTAAAGTCATATTTTCTTTTCTTAACAGACTTTAAACTAAAAACGAAGCAGTCGTGTGCTTATTTTTTCTACTATTATTATTATTACATAATTTTTCTCTTTTTGCATCTGAGGCGCAAACTAACTGTTGTGATCTCTGGCAGAATGACCAGCGCTGTGGAACACGTCTGCTCCACAGCATGAGCCACGGCCACAACACACACATATTACACACTTAAAATGTACCTTTTACTTTTTTCCTTTTCGTAATTTTTTGATTATTATTATTATAATTTTGTGTGTTTCTGTGTGTATGTGTCATTAGTAATAAATGTTATGTCTATGTCTATGCTTATCCTCAAGCTAGCCTATAATTCGATTTGTATATAATCACGTTTATTGCTATATTAGGAATATGCATAGCTTACCTTGGCAACTTTGTCTCAGAGTTTAATTAAATGTTAATTAAGCTATGAACAGTACAGTAAACATTTATATATGCACTTGTGTCAAATATGTAAGCGAACGTAGTCGAAACTTTGTCAGATAGGACACGTAAAATTGTACTCTCTGAATATAAAAATGTATAAAGTACTTACAACTTAATGGATGAACCATAAATTCCAGATACAGAAAACTGTGTAAAACTCATGGAAGACATTCAGGTCACGAAGCATGCCAAGCCAGAACTCATTACTCGAGGATACATGTTTTATTATGTTTGCAGTTGTTGAAAGACTTGGAGCTTGGACATTGCTCTGTTAAGATAATCACAATAAAGCCGGTATCATTCTCGTTTATCGTGTGAAAAAGTACTTCTATGTTCAATTAAATATCATTTTATATCTCTGAAAAATTACTATTATATAGTTGAATGGAAAAAGGTCATTGACATCAAAATTACGAGCTCATTGGAAAATTATAAATATAACATGAATAACAAGACGCGTGTTCTTGCATCTTGATCATTGATTAAACCTATACAAAGCCTAGAGAATTGGTAGCAATTAAAATATATACAAATATTTTAGTTCGTTACGTTGTACCTATTTGGAATATTTAACTACCTTTACCTTTAGAGCAGTGTTGGCCTAGTGGCTTCACCGTGCGACTATCATCCCTGAGGTCGTAGGTTTGATCCCCGGCTGTGCACCAATGGACTTTCTTTCTATGTGCGCATTTAACATTCGTTCGAAAGTTGAAGGAAAACATCGTGAGGAAACCGGCTTGCCTTAGATACAGTCTTAGATACTAGTCTACTTAGATAAAGTCGAGGGCGTGCGTCTGGCACAGAAGGCTGATCTACTACCTATTAGATTAACAAATGATCATGAAACAGATACAGAAATCTGAGGACCTAACAAACCTAAAAAAAGGTTGTAGCGCCATTGTTTTTTTTTAGCTTTTGATAGCTGACGCATTGGCTTGTTTGCCTCTCCATTTGATATATAAAAAAGATAAAGTCTATAAACTACAAAAAATACTTAATAGTATTGCAAGCATACACAGAATACTTATCATAATAAAGATTCAGATCAATAAGATTTAATAAATGTAAAATTAGCTATAGAAAAATAATATAGAAGAAGTGTCTGATTATATTGTTTCAGATCAAAAGATGGTGCGATGACTCACATCCATAAGACAACAAACATGGACGGCAATTTGCAAACAGAGTTCTCCTCGAAGCCGAAGCGAGGAGTCTACCTCTCTAAGGGCCTTGCATCCGTGATATTCATTATATTTACTCTAGCATTAATAGCTACAGCTTTCATTGTTTATAACTTCGCCGCCTGTCCAAGGACAGACCAGTTAGCAAATGTTACGAAATACGAACTTAACCACTGTGATCAAAATAAACTAACAGTTATACCTTTAAGTACTGAATCTAGCAAAAGCGTTACGAACTTCGAAATAACGACCAATTCTGTAGAAACGACAACTGAAGTTGAAATAAACAAAGTGATTGACGTGCGGTTACCAAATAGTATCAAACCAGATCGGTATTACTTAAAACTAACTCCGTATATATTTGAAAGCAACTTTACATTCGATGGTGAAATAAGTGTTGTTATTACAGTGAAAAATGATACAAATAAGGTAACATTTCATGGTGTTGAATTAGTGTTTCATACAATTGGACTATTCAAGAAGGACGATGGAAAAGAGATCGACATAGAGCAAAGGACGGAGGATATGGAAAGGCAGTTCCATATTTTGGTAACTGCGGAGACGTTGAAGGCGGGACAGCAATACGTTTTAAATATAACGTATACTGGGATTTTAAATGATAATCTCCATGGGTTTTACAGGAGTTCATACGAAGAAAAAAAGGACAAACGGTAAGGTTTTGTGTAATCATAATTTTATAAAATACAGTAGGTATATAATTCGGATTTCTTCTTCGTCATGATCAATGTTAATAACGGGTTTCGTAAAAATATAGTTAAAAATAAACGAATCACTAACTACTTACTTTAAAAAATTAAAGTTACTGATGCAACTGTGTGAAAATATTTTAATCGTTTTCTAATGGTTTTAAGGATATTAGCTTAAATTTGTTTAGAAGTAGACCTTGGTGGCTTTACGACATTACATCTAGTCTAGTCTTATTTCTTTATTTTGATACTTATACTTCCTATCAGTTGCATGGTCATGATTTATCTAAGTAATTTATAGGCATGTTAGTAACTATTATGTACTTACATGCAAATTTTGTGGCCTTCCCATTTTTATATAAACATTTTGACAAATAAAACAATTGATTTGATATCAATAAAAACATTCCTTTAAATATATAATTTTGTATGTAGGGATCTGGTCTTGGTCAGGTCGTATTGGTCATTATCTTATTTAGATAATAGTTACATAACTTGTCTATTTGGTTGCCGTTTTGTACTTTATTATCAACAAAGTTTAGTAAAGATTGTTAGAATAGAAGATACAGACCGTATCAAATCAAATCAAATCAAATCAAAATACGTTTATTCAATTTAGATGCTTCTTAGAAATCAACAACGTTTACAAAATTCACGAAAGAGCAAGACTCCCATCCGTTCGCAAACTACCAGGAGGCCTTGTTCTGAGAAGAACGGGCAAGAAACTCAGCAAGTTTGCCCTCCCTTTACATTACAATTATTCAAAGGAAAATGTCATAAACCACAACGTCATTAACATAAAATTTGGATTAAAGTCTTAGTAATATTTTATATTATGCTTAGTAGTAATAAGAGGTAATGAATCAAATCTTAAGATACTTGTATAAAATAAAATATTCATTACAAATCGGAAACTTCGGCTATTGTTATCATTAATATTCAGAGCGCGGCGATGAACTAAACATTTAGTAAGTTTGACGGTCACCTCCGTTCTATTGGCAATCCTTCCGGAATAGTAATGCCTTTTTTAATTGCGATTGTTTTGAACCTTGTATAAAACTTTTTGACAACTTATGCACCTTTTATTTCTACGTTAATGTTTATCACGCTATTAAAGCCGTTGAGAAATATTGTTTGATCTACCATCTCTTACTGCCATTTGCAACTACCTCCATTATTGTATTTTATTGTTGCCCTTTTCATAAGCGTTTTTAACTTTTAAGTATGTCTTGTGTTTCTTTTTGCGTAGTTATACTTCTGTGGCAGTATATTTAACGAGGCTAATAGACTTTTAATCCATATATTAAAAAAACTTTAGAGGTGTTAAGGGACACCCGGATGGAACGAAATTCCTTTCAATTAATTTATATGTTAATTGTTATCATAACAGTATGATAGATTATCTCGACACCAATCTTACGACGAAAAAAAAAAGCCAACATCACGAGGTGTTCCCAGGCGGTCACCCATCCAAGTACTAACCTCGCCCGACGTTGCTTAACTTCGGTGATCGGAAGAGAACCGGTGTATTCAACTATTCAACATGGTATGGACGTTGGCGATAGCTAAATCGAAAATGTAAAATATAACAACTATAGCAAAAAGTGTCGTTACAACTTTTGGTAATTATTTATTCCGTCTAGCCCCCTTTCGCAACGCTCGATAAAAAAAAAACCAACATCACGGTGTATTACAATAGCAAATAGCAAAAAAGTGTCGTGACAACTTTTCGTAAGAATATTTTCCGTCTAGCCCCCTTTCACAACGCGCGATAAGGAACTTCGTTCCAATATAAAACTTAAATAAAATAATAAGTGTAATTTAGAATCAAATGTCAATGCTTAATTTTTCAGGTCTCAAGTTGTATTGTTTTAGTGTTAAGAACTCGTGTTACGTCTAAAAGAATTTAATGTCTTTTATTTGAAGCCTTACTAGGTCGTACCTATTAAAAGGATTCTTAAAAGTTTCTTTGCGGCAGATGGATAGCTGTGACGCAGTTTCAAGCGACCGACGCAAGAAGAGCATTTCCCTGCTGGGATGAACCAGCGCTTAAGGCCAGGTTTACGATCAGCCTCGCTCGACCTGCGAATATGAGCTCCATATCGAATATGAACATCGTTGGACACCAGAGACAGTAAGTAAAATAACAATAAGTATAAGAAAACATACATGTGTGTCCAGTACATTTTCTCGTTAGCAGTCCTACAAAATCTGTCGTATCGTATATATAATTTAAAACAAAAGACGAACGCACCGTTTCATGGTGATAATCGAAGTCTAATGATAAACGCAAAGAAATGTTATATTTGGTTGATCTTGATGTTTCATGTCACGTGCCAACGCATGTTGTACTAAAGCTGTTACGGATCATGCCATCGTTTCGTTATCCTTTTTAAATTACCACCCCTTCAGTACTAAAATAAAAACAATGATTTTGACTTAATTGTATTATTGAATAGAAGTTTTAGTCTATTTTAATTTCTGTTTGGCAAATAAAATTTTAACGAAGTGTGAAGGTATATACCGCGACATTTGTCCAAAGAGAATGAAGCACTGAATGCCGTTTCCGTACCAGCCCATTAAAAGAACAAGTATTAGCGTTGTAGCACCGAGTTTTGAATAAAAACATTAAAAAAATAATGTAAAAAAATGCGTTTCAGCGACCATCTGGATAGTTACATATGGGACCACTATGCTGAAACTCTTCCTATGTCAACTTACCTTGTCGCATTTGCGGTGACCGACTTTGGTAATATGAGTCGCGATAACTTCTCCGTATGGGCGAGAAAAGACGCTCTATCCTCTGCAGCTTATGCCTTAGATATTGGCCCGAAGATACTCAAGTTCCTGGAAGATTATTATAAGATTAAATTCCCCTTGCCGAAGATTGACATGATTGCGTTACCGGATTTCAAGGCCGGCGCCATGGAGAATTGGGGACTGTTGACATTTAGGTAAATATTTAATTCTCTTTATAAGATTGGTGTACCTATTTATTTTAGATCGTTTAATTTTGATTGCCTTATTTGTCTCTTATTTTCTGTAGATCACGGAGTAAGGCCCAAAAGTCGAATTTATTTAAACCTCTCGATGTTATTATTATTATCATAGCTCTATGCTGGTGGTGTTTGAAGGTAATTGAAAGCACGAAAAGATTTAAGTTCCGCGCCTGACCTCGTGGTATAAGCTTGAAAGTTATAATATCATAGCCATTTAAGTATTTCCGAACAACGACTTAAGGTCCTTCAAGAAAAGAGCGTACCAATTATTGAAAGGCCGGCAGCGTGCTTGCCCCCATTTGGCCCTTCTATTACTACTTCATAGCGATAGAGCTCTGTAAGGTGAGGATAGGAAGAAGCGTGCTTGCGAGCCTTCTGGCAGTGCGAGTGTCCAAGGGCGGCAGTATAACTTAACATCAGGCGAGCCTCCTGCCCGTCTGCCTCCTGTAACATAAAAAAATACTAAAGACTCTATCTTCTAAAAATCCAATAGGTTTTTCACTTACTGCCGTACTTAGCGTTTATAATCGACTCCGAGTTTGGCCTAAATATACTAAATATTACTAGGAATTTGGGCACTATACTTGTCTGAACCAGACTGAATTGCGACATCTTTTAAAAACATTTAAATACACATATTACGTAAATGATACTGCGTTTGTAACTTAATATAGGTATACAAATTTTACTAGTGGTACAATAGCACAAATAGCTAACTAATGTATAAATTTACCACAGAGGGCTTGACAAATAGAGGTTAAAATTAATCGTAAATCAGGATGAGGGTGTCAATCGATTACTAGCGTGACGAGAAAGCTTATTATCTAAGATCATCAATCACGTTTTTGCCATTGGGGTGAGACAATTGTGTAGAAGGGTACTTTGTATATTAAATGCCAGACTGTGTGAATGTAACACTTGGTATATTCTGCTATTAGATGATTTATTTTATTTTATTATTATTTATTACTTAAGATGTCATGTGGAATATGGTGTAATGGTTGCAGGTCACAAACGTGTAAAACAAAAAACTTGGCAATTTATTAATTGCCTTCTCTTCCGTTCTACGCCCTTGATTTGAGAACTGGCAGTAAATGTAAAATTAGAAGCATTTCGCATATTTATTTTTTGACGTTCAGAAGTGTATATTGTTGTACCTAATGATTTTGACTTTTATTAAAAATCAAACCAAAAATGATGAGTATTTATAGCGTTAATTGAATTAATTTAACGCCTGTTTAGATATAGATTGCAAATATTGCATCTAGTGATGGAAATAAAAATGGTTAAACGTTTTTTTTAAACATTTTTCTAAACAACTTATGGCATTAACTGCTCAATGATTACTCAGTCGCACATATGACGTATAGTGTAAGTGCTTGTTCACGTTGACTCGCGGGCGCGGTGGCGGGCGCGGTCACGAAATATCAAACATGTGGCGCTACTTAGACCGCACGTGCGTTTCGTATGTGAACACTTGGATATTACGCCAAGTGAACAAGCACTACGTCTTCCTAACATGTTGCCAGAGAACAATTCCCCGACTTATTCAGGAGAAGATATTCAAACAAACATTGTATATTATTACTGATCCGGTAAACGTTGTTTTGCCATGTACGGGTGGGTAAATTATTTCTGGGAAATATTTTTTTAGTTCAATAAAAATAACTATCTACTATAATAGAAAATAGGGTTTGATCGCAGAGGGGTGAAAATTAAGGGTTGTATGTATATTTTTGTATGCTGTATCATGAAAACAAAAAAATGTCTAAAAATTAGGGGTGGACCATGAAATGCGAAATGAAAAATAAATGTTCGATTAGCAGACCTAACCGATAGGCACACAAAATTTCTCGAAAATCGGTCAAGCCATTTCGGAGGAGTTTAATTACACACGATAATTTTATATATTAGATTAAGATTTAGACCAAATTAAAAATCTAAGTGAAATAAACGAATTGCTACAAATATGTGTAATTTGATTCAAAAATAATAATATGATTAAATCATACAACTATTTTCAGAGAAATAGCAATGCTGTATGACGATGGCGTTTCACCCACCACGGCAAAAGCTAGAGTGGCTGCAGTAGTTGCCCATGAGATTGCTCACCAGTGGTTCGGGAACTTGGTGACGCCAGCCTGGTGGTCAGATATATGGCTCAACGAAGGATTCGCGAGCTACGTAGAGTATGTTGCTGTTGATGCTGTGAGTAACATTCCTATATAAGAATGATAATTCGTGTCCCAAATCTGCTATGCTTATAATTTTTCTGTTGCTGGTACGGTAAAAGTGAGGAATGCCGAAACATTGTCAACATGCAATGTTATAAAAACTTTCTTGACATTTAGTACAACAATAAAACTTACTTTAAAATGTCAAGTAGATAATTTTATTTTTATGATATGCATCATATAAAAGCAATGCTGCGGATCTCCATCACATAAGCCTGGGCATGCATTTTTTGTTTGATTCCTTTGCCTATAAATAAAAAGGCCGGCAACGCACTCGCGAGCCTTCTGGCATTAAGAGTGTCCATGGGCGGTGGTATCAATTAACATCAGGTGAGCCTCCTACCCGTTTGCCCCATGGTCTATAAATTTTTTTTGAAGTTATACTTCTTTAGGCGCGTTATGAAAAATTGATGAGAGTGAAATTTTACGATGCGCGCGCACCGTGATACACAATTAACAGAATGAAGTTGCCCACGGAAGATGCTACGGCATTGGACATAATTTAAAAACAACATTAGAATAATAATAGAATTTATGTTACACTAATTAATGTAAGAGAATAATAATAAATATTGATTTATTTAATTTTTCAAATGTAAACTGAACTTTATTGACTAAAATGAATCCTTTTCCAGGCTTTGATTATTTAATTGTAATTAATTATTTGCATGCAATTAAAAAACTATTTTTAATAATGTCAAAGAAGTATAACTTCTTACGCGCGTACATAAGTACACGCACCCTTTTTTTAATGGAAATGTGGTGTTGGCGACGCATGCTAAGGATTCCCATGACAGCTAAGGAACAAACGTGTCCATGCTAAGACGGTTGCAGATAAAAAATCGTTTTTCGACACTTTGTTACGAACGCATCCTGAGCTTTTTGGGCATATAACAAGCAGAGATCCAGAAAGTCTAGAAAAACTCATCGTGACTGGGAAGTGGGGGGCACCAGACCTCGCTGGACCGACCAAGTCAAGGCCCTTACAGGTCTTACCATCACCCAGGCGCAGAGGCTTGCAGAAGGCAGGGGAGAGTTGGCAGTTGAGTGGCGCCACTAAACACCATTATTCTTACAATATATGTTGGATACAAATGCGCTAGTGAAGGTTATCCTACTTGTATAATGAGTAAGAGCTAATCAATATTGATTAGAAGTATTGATTGTGTCAAAGCCAAAACTATTATCTGATCCATGTTATCGTCGGAATTTAAATTACTAAAATAATAAATAGTTATATTTTTCGCTTGCACTCTATATTAAAAATAATGTAAGGAAAACATACGAAACGACTTAGGAACCTTCGAGATAAGAGTAAACCCTAAGGCATTCTATATTCTAACCGCCGCCCACCGGCTATGCCCTTCTTGTTTTCCATAAGCGTTAAATTATTAATAACCGTAAGTTTAATAATTATATACCAAAGGAACGATGCCACTTATCTACAGTTTAATTCCCGCTAAGGATAAGAATAATTTAAGAAAGCATTTCTCACTAAGATACAATTTTGATTGATCTAAGTCTTTAGCCTTTAGTCTGATATTTTAATAAATGAAACTAAAAAAATACAGTATGTTTTTATTGTTTTTAGGTAGAAAAGACTTGGAAGTTGATGGAAGTTTTTGTGCTAAATGAAGTTCAAAGTGTATTCAAATTGGACGCGCTAACATCATCACATCAAATATCAGTCGAAGTTGGAAACCCAGAAGAAATAGGAGCAATTTTCGATAAGATATCTTATGGAAAAGGTAAATAAATAGAACAAGAAAACAGAAGAAAAATATCTATTTTACAATAACTGATTGCCTAAACGAATGAGATTGTATTTTCTACTCGAATAAATTAACAAATTTGTTATGATACTATGTAGACAATGTAATATGTTGAAAACTAAAAAAAGCAGATTAATATTCTCTATTCCACAAGGCATATTTGTGTTTGTTTTGGATGTCGTTAGCTAATAAATTGTATGATATTTAACAAAAAAATTGCGGGTTTAACATTGCCTCAAAGCAAGAGTGAATTAATTTAGCTTACAGCATTTAATAAAAAAATCTGAATTTTTCTGTCTTCGACTTGTAGAAATCGTCAGATTATATATTTTTCGTCATCCTTGAATTATTTCAACTTTGCAGCCCTCCCCTTTCTTTACGTTACTTGCAAATTGTCAGATTAGTGAAATATACACTTCTTAGCATGTAATTCACTCACCCTACCTTAATCTGACGCGCTCGAGAAAGTCTGTTTTTTTTTATTCGGCCATGTATATGGGGCATCTCTCATCTCATATTTGGTAGAGATACTGAACCGGGTACAAGGTATCTCGCTGTATATCAATCTGCTACGCTGTACTAAATCCCGGTATCCCTGCTTGGGCTCCCCTACTATAAAGCATTTTAGTTCGCGAGAACTGAAAATAATTAATTAATCACGATTCATCAAGATTGTGATATGTAAATGACAACTATTTTAGGTTCAGCAATACTTCGCATGATGAATCATTTTCTTACGGATGACGTATTCAATGCCGGCATCACAGACTACTTGAATGCCAAAAAGTATGGTGACGCCGAACAAAAGGATCTGTGGAGCGCTCTCACAAATGCCGCTAGGGAAAGAGGCAACAGTGATCTCGATGTCGCCGTCATCATGGACTCATGGACTTTGCAGACTGGCTTCCCAGTTTTGACTGTTACCAGAGACTATGAAATAGGGACTGTAACGTTTAAACAGGTACTAAGTAATAATTTATAAATCTTAAAATATAAAAATAAAAATCAGTGGCGCACCTCTTTAGATCTGGGCCTCAGATTTCTGAATCTGTTTCATGATCATTTTTAAATCTAATAGGCAAGTAGGTGATCAACCTCCAGTGACTGACGCACGCCATCGACTTTTTTGGGTCTAAGACATGTCGGTTTCCTCACGATATTTTCCTTGACCGTTCGAGCGAATGTTAAATGCGTACATAGAAAGTCCATTGGTGCACAGCTGGGGATTGAACCTACGACCTCAGGGATGAGAGCCACACGCTCACGCCACTAGGCCAACACTGCTCAAATAAGTAAAAAGTAGTCGCTACAATTTACGGTGGGTGAGAATTTTACACAAAAGAAGAAGTTATTAAGGAAACCTTCAAAGGTGCTATATATTTTTTTACTTAAAATCCAAGGATTTGTGTACCTTCAAGAAGAGTTATAAGATTTTTTTAATATTTGACATTAATAATTGAACTGAATTAGATGTTTACAAATAGCATTTCAATAACATATATAATGTTTCCAGGAGAGATTCATCCTCATCAACGGGTCTTTGGACGATCAGAAACCAGTGTGGTGGATTCCAGTCTCTTACACTACCGCTTCTGAGAAGGACTTTGAGTCGACTCAACCAAAATTATGGTTAAAAGGAGAGAGGTCGTCAGTAGCTAAAAATATATCTATTGCCCATAGTGACTGGATCATTGCGAATATACAACAGACAGGTGAATTTTAACTTGCATTGGTTGATAAATATTTGATACTCACTATGATATATAATATTTGATAATATCACTTGAATAAAAATACTATGATATATTATAATATTTGATAATATCACTTGAAGAAAGAACTGAATGGCAAAAGGGAATTTTTAATTTTTATTTTTAATTTTTATAGTTTTTGACGTCTTATTTTTTTTTTTCTTTAAGTATTGTTATTTTGTGTGTTTATGTGTATGTGTTTTCGTTTGTAATAAATGTTATGTCTATGTATATGTCTAATTACATCATAAATTAAAATATGCATAAAATATTTGCAAATATTTAAATAAATGCAATTTAAAAAAATCAAATACAAGTTATCATTATTTAGAATTATATTATTTGTCCTATATTCAAATTAAAAACATATCGTTTCAATAGTTGGCCCTTGTATACCAACTACTTGAAATTGATTGTGTTTTATATTATTTGTGCGTAAGTAGTGTAGTTTTGCGCAAGCATTTGTTTTTTACATAGTTTTTTACGTTATAATTTAAATAAATGATGTGACGCGACGTAGAGTTTATTGCCAGTTCTTCTCGTCTATTCTACGCTCATGAGCTGAGAACTGGCAGTAAATGTAAACTTAGAATTATTTTCAAACAACAAAAACGAAACAATTTTCGTTATTGACATTTATAAGTGTACATTGTTACCTATATAAATAAAGTATATTTTGGTGTTTCTAAAAAAAATGTAATATCTTGAACATTAAATCTCGAAATCTGTTTCAAAATTTCCAGGATTTTACCGCATCAATTACGATCAACGAAATTGGGAGATGCTTATAAAAATTCTAAATGACCCGAAGAGGTTCGAGGAGATTCATCCAATTAACCGGGCGCAGATAATAGATGATGCGATGAATTTGGCCCTATCGGGTCGTTTGGACTACCGTATAGCTCTGGACATAACCAGTTATTTGAAACACGAGAGAAGTTACGTACCCTGGAAGTCTGGGCTGGTAGCACTGGGTTATATAGACACGATGTTATCCAAAGGAGCTTATTATCTTGAATACCAGGTGAGAGTTTCCGTATCTCAATTACCAATCGTCAGATACTACGACATTTTTTCTCTAAACTACAAGTTTTGTAAATAAATATCGTAGCAATTAAAATCGAGCTTGGTTTAATCTACAATAACGTAAGCCAAACGACAATGCAAAACTTAATTAGTCTAATTGAACTCTTCTCTTTATATGTATTGTTCTGACGCTGTAATGAAAAGATAAAGAGTTAAAATAGTGCAAACTTCTTTCGCCTCTGAAGTTGCGTTCACAATTACAAAAAAAGCATCTCCATAATAAAAAACAAAAAAAAACCCTCGGATTGGTCCAGCCCTCTTCTATTTCGCACTTAGCAACATAATATAAAATTATAATAAGGTCTACTTTTTATACTTCTGTCAAAGGAGGTAATTTTGAAACCGTAAACGTTGGCAGGCATTTGTTTTCGTCAACGTCATTGGTCTTCATTTGTTAATTATTTTATTTAGTTAATATTTTTTTTTAAATTTAATGTTAGTTAATGTTATGTTATTAAATTAAATAATTTTTTTACACTGTGTTGTCACGCCCTCTAGTATTCCCTAGTTAATTTTGTGTTGTACCGCATACAAATAAAATTACATCGAAACAAAATTTAGCATTCTGTCTTATAAAAAATATATTTTATAGATAGATTGAACTATCCATATTATAAAATGTATAAGTTTCACCTAAATATTATAAGAGTAGGGATGGTAACCCGAAAATCGATAATTTTGATAAAGATTAAATTATTTTCTTGTCCCTTAAAATATTTTGTTAATGCCAATAGATGGCGTTACTTATACCATAAAATATTAATTTATTAAGCTGCAAAGATAACGCATAATTTATTTTCTGTGTGTATTTATATAACCATCATTAAATTCTTAACGTTTTATAACTTTTATATCTACCAATAAAGATAATAAAACGTAGAATTGTTGCAATTCTGATAATAATATAATCTTTGTAATAATATAGCGTCTTAATATCCATTTAAGAACATATAATTATTTTATTGCTAAATAAATGACGTAAGATTTCTATTGACTTTTTTCAAACGATATGTGACCCAATATTTCTCATTCTAAAAAAATAAATGTTTGGTCTAATATTTAAAGAACAATAGGTAATTGTAAGTTGTGTGACCACCAAAAGATAATGTGATCTTTTCAGCGTTACGTTCTACGTCTATTACACGGGGCAGTTAAGGACCTCGGCTGGGAAGTATCCACCAACGAGAGTGTAGTACGCGCACAACACAGAGTCGACCTCTTATCAACTGCTTGCCACCTTCAACAAGTGGAATGCTTGGAGCATGCTGTAAGAATGTACACAAACTGGATGCTGACTCCGAATCCTGATACATTTAACGAGTAGGTTCCTTTCGTAGGTTATTACAGTATCGTGTGTGTGGAAGCCTTCGAAAAGTCAGCCTTTCTTTAATTGTTTCTGCTTTGAACGACCGCTCAATCAAACTTAACCATACAAAACAATGCATGTATTTTACCCAATTTGTGACGAATAACGAAATTATTATTACTATAGACTAGCTCGAGTTTGTTGTTAAATATAGATTTAAATAAACTAAGGCAAAATTTGATGGGAGTCAAATTATTGACTCTTAATTGAGGAAACTCATAAGAAGAATTATGTGTGTCTATAAATTTTATAAGATTTCATTCATTGATACTTTTTTGCTGTTAACTAACATGATTTTAGCAATTTTATTTTGATTTATTTCTAATTAGGTAATATGTCATTTGATAATGAATGAGTATATTATTTAATTAGTGTATGTAATCTTTAGCAATGATTCATACCTATGTAGATAATATAAACATAATATTATGCACATATCATAATGACAGCACGAAGTCGGGGATTCCCCGTACGCGCTCATAATCATTTTTAGAGTTAATTTTTTTAAACAACTTTTTTTGTACTCTAACTTATCCAAACTACAGTATATTTACTTTGGGAAGGAAGGCTGTTGTCTTCCTCCTAAATGGAGGATACCTACTCGTTTAACCTTTGACTGGCCTGAAGGCTCCAGAGGCCAGTAAGTCGAGAAGTTGTGTAGTAGTGTCGATATGAAAAACATGAAAAAACCAAAACGGACACAAATTTTACGTTTCAATATTTTTTTTAGAATTCACGCTGATATAAGAAGCACTGTATATTGCGTTGGAGTTCAAGCTGGTGGGGCGCGTGAGTGGAACTTTGCTTGGGAGAGGTTCATGACAGCCAGTGCGCCCTCTGAAAGGGAACTTCTTCTGTCTGTTCTAGGATGTACCAGGGCACCATACTTATTATACAGGTTTAAATATATTTCTTGTATATACATATAATAATTTTTTTTTTAAATTAAAACCAACCTTTTGATTTTTATTTCAATAATCAAATTTATATTACGCAGAATAACTAAAAAAACTCAATAGTATGAGATTATTACTCAAACAATTATTTATATTGTTGCATGATCTCTGATAGAGGATAGTAGGTTTTTAATGTAATAGGAGGCAAAGGTTTTTTAAGTTGTACTTCTTTAGGCGCGTTATGAAAAATTGATGAGAGTGAAATTTTACGATTGCGCGCGCACCTATGACACAAAATTGGCAGTGTGATATAGCGTGCGTGAGCGAGATGGGAATAAGACAAACTACAAGTAAAGAAATAGAATATGCGTGAAGCTAACTTCACGCATATTCTAGCTTAGCAGCTTAACAAGAATTTTGAATGACCATGACAATTGACATCTGACAATGACATTTACCTTTTAAACAAATATAGGAGTTTTAATTATTGTTTAAAATTAATAATTATATACCTAGTTATTTTCATTATACAAAATATTTGTGAAATAATATAAAATATTTGTGAAAAAACTGTGCTAACCTTCCTGAGTGCTTCAATACAATTGAGGTTAACTATCCGTATGTATTATCGAGTATTATTGTTGATTAAAACTGAAACATGAACCATTATTCATTGCTTTTGTTTATTGCGTTTGTTACAGCAACTTTTTAGAAATATTCTACGACCCTATATATCAATAATTGAGAACAAAGATTTAAGCACGAATACTAATAAGGAGAAAATGAAGGCTTGGAGCGATATAACAGAGAAGTAAACATTTTAATAAGTACCTGCATCTCAAAAAAATGACCACATTATTTAATCAAAACATTAGATTTAATCTAGCAAATATAAGGACAAGAGACAAAAAACAATTGATGAATCAGTGGAAGTGCACTAAATTGAATACAAAAAAGAGTTGTCATCTTATCGCCGTGAAACATCAAAAACTGGAGGTGGAACAAAGCCACCATCACCTTCTCGAGACACAATGGTTTGAAGTAGATTTCAATGAATTTGATTGTGATGGTGTCGAGGTAGGAATGTTAATTATAAATATGATGTATGGTGATGTTCAAGGTTCAACCTTTCAAGCATAGGCATATGCTTACATCATTACTTTATTCCCCTACAGGGTAGTTAGAGATATTGTAATACCTCAAAACATCCATGTTGCACTTGTAGTACCGAAACTCTGTCCTGCCAGAAGTGAGCCCATTCCCACTTATAATGGACAGTGGGTATAATACACCTTAATACCTGAGTGCGAACCACTCACCATGATACTTAAATTAATAGATGTTATTTATATATTTCAGGTTATTACAAATAAAATCATTTTGGAAACAATTGATATCCCAAAAGCAAATAAAGCCAACAATGACAAGGTAATAAATCAGTTTTGACATAACTTGAATACTAAAAAAGCCAAACAAAGGTGTGCACAACAGTGACAACATAACTTAACAATTTCATTATTTTGTAGGATTAAAGAAAGGTTAAAGAAAATCATGTCAAACTGAACAACAAGAATCCCCAAACAACTCCAAAGAAACCTACAAGGAAGACACCGGTATTATATTTAAATTATCTCTATCTCTAAATAGAATAAAAAGAAAGTTGCTATCCAGGTCTGTAGCATGTGCTACAAATTATATTATTAACACATTTATATAATTATATTAATATAAATGTGTTAAAAATTTATAATATGAATTATAAAAAATTTTAAGTTTTGCATGGACAGAGCTTAAATTAATATTCTCTTATTTGTTGCAGAAAGCAAGTAGTTTTGGAGAAGCCTCGTAGATGCACAACCAAGTAATGATTAATTTAAAATTACAAACCGAAATTCTGATGAAGACATTAGAGTCACTTAAAAATAAATAGTATAATGAAATAAAAATGTTTTAAAGATAAATAGTGTTTTATTTGTTTAATGTAAGAGAATAATAATAAATATTTATTTAATTAATTTTTCAAATGTAAACTGAACTTTATTGACTTTAATGACTCCTTTTCCAGTCTTTGATTATTTAATTGTAATTAATTATTTGCATGCAATCAAAAACTATTTTTAATAATGCCAAAGAAGTATAACTTCTTACGCGCGTACATAAGTACACGCACCCTTTTTTTAATATGTTAAGTGATATCGCCACCCATGGACACTCACATTACCAGATGCCTCGCAAGTGCGTTGCGGGCCTTTCAAGAATTGGTACGCTCTTTTCTTGATGTGAGAGGTTCTGTTAGAAAAATAAATTGGCATAGGTTATACACCAATGGATTTTATATATATTTAATTTATACGTGTATTTAATCATAAAGACCCAACAAATACACGACGTTTTTCAAGCAGAGAAGGTAACTTACCATGGAGAAAAAATAAAATACCAATGAAACACACATCGCACGTTGCCCTAAGTCTTTTAGTTACTTCACTGATTACTTTATACCAATGTTAATAAATTGTTTTAACAGATACCTGGAGTTGTCCTTGCGAAATGATAGCGGCATACGGAAGCAAGATACAGTAAGAGTGTTCTCAGCCGTTGCCAGTTCGTCTATCGGAGAACCCATCGCATTTAGTTTCGTCAGAGACAATTGGCAGAGACTTAAGGAATTGTAAGAATAATTAAATATATTTTTATTATGAGGACTGAATTGTTATATCATAGAAGTAATCTATGGGGTTGAAATTCTAAAAATACTGAATTGTTTTCGTAAATTCTTTCGCCACTTGCTTTATTACTCTGGCGTGTAGTCAAAGTTATTGCGTAAAATATTTCATTATTATTGGAAATTGGTTGGTTATAAAAACATTATCCTAATGGTATATAATTTTTTTTGTCATCAAATGGATTTTAAAAATAATTAATACTCATTTGAGAGTTAATATTATTTTATATTTATAAACCGGATTTGAATGCATTTATTTCTGAAAGTGCCCGTGAATCCTGAGCCAATTTTATAATGTATGAAAATGCATTTTTTTATCTACTCTGTAAAAAAACACAAGATATTTATTTTATTAATTTTGTTTCAGTGTTGGTTCTGTATCAACCATGAATTCAATACTGAAGGTAGTAACGAGAAGAATAAATCAAGCTCATGAATTTGATGAGGTAAGTTCTTTGTTTGGTGGCACGAGTCAAACACACTAGTTATGTCTTAGATGTTTCTTAATAATAAGATACAGAAAACTTATCGTCTACGAATTTACTGAATCTTCAAATCGGTAAATAATATTGTTTTATCATTCAGTATGGAGTCTTCTTTAACATCTGCCTTGCGATTCTGTAACTCACTTTTCAATCTCTCACAGGGGTTTTCGCTCCCTCCAGATAAGGAGGGAGCTTGTAGCTGTTTATTGTTTATCAGAATACCAAATCGTAAAATGACTGCTTCACGACTGATTTGAGCGTGACCGTCGCTGCGAAAACCCCTGTGATAGTTCGAAAAGTGAGTTACAGAATCGCAAGGCTGGTCCGATTAAGGATCGTGTCTTTGGCGCCGTAAATTATATTTAATAATGCTACCAGTACCATTGATACAATGCCAAACAATATTTGATCCGAGGTGTCAATAAAGTAGGACTATGCCTTTTCTTTGATTTAAAGGCGTCATAATACTAATACACTTGAACATTTTCTAGCTAAAACGTTTTGTATCGTCCTACGACAAGGAGCTTGGTCGTCCAGTACAGCAAGTTCTTGAAAGAACAGAAGCAAACGTGCAATGGATGAATAGGAATTACAAAACTATCGTTTCTTGGCTCCTAAAGGCTGATAAAGAAACTGTTATTGAGTGATAAGTGAAACACAAGGTTTTGTAATATCTCTTTTACCAAAGAGCCTTTTGCTCTTTCACCAAATTTACGTAGAGCACGTGAAAGTGATCGTAAGAAATATTAAGTAACTCTGCATAGTTATTTATATATTACCTTAAGTTGTAATGTAAATGGAATACTCAAACTTTGCGTCGTAGACGTTGCATTCTACGGCGTAGCAGTGTAATGATAAATATGCTAATGCAAATTTTGTAATGTAACCGTCGTACTATTTTTTACTATATTATTATTTTAGTAAAATTTAGATTTAATAGCTTAAATATATTAATAATATTACTGACACTGTACATATTTTTTTTAATGAATATATCATAGTGATTGCTTACCGCAATTAAGATTTTTTTAATTTCATAATAATTTAAATAATTTTTATACATTATTAAATATAAAAATTGATTAGTGCAATTTAGTAGAAATAGCTATCCAACTTTTATGATTCGTAAAACTCCATGACAAGTATTTTTGTAGTCCCTAAATCTTATTAAGATGTATTTTATTAGGGTTATATTATGTAATTTAATTATTTTGTACTATCGGTGTTCATATATTTAATAATTAAAACATTTTGTAATTCTCACCTTATGTAAATATAAATAAAAATTTATTCACAATTATGTCGTTTTATTTGTCTCTATTTTATGTACAAGCATTGTTCGTCGCTATTGACCCAATAATGTCTCTTTAAATCGACAATTTTGTAAAATTTTCTATAGTATCTCAAAAACAAAATTTTGAAGCGATGTTTATATAAACTAAATTCTGAAATCAAAAACATCTCTCTGACAACATTTTTGTATGCATTTAGGTACGCATATATTTCCTGAGACGAACGCACATTCTCACACAAGTGGCATATACATATGCTTAGTTAATTTGACCATATTTTTAGTTTCTTTAACTGTCAATTTTCATAAGTTTGGTAACCCACAATACAGGGATGACTGCTTTGTGGGTAACCAGTGTACAAAGTATTTTTAATTAATTAATTAATTATCTTAGAAGTCTATGGGTGACGCATAAATAAATAACATACTTAGCCTGTTAGCCCTTCCCCTTTTTAAAAACAATATACTTCAGAGATATATAATAAACGATACATGAAAAATATTCTTTCGGAGGGACATCGAATAACTTCATTTAATACATTTAAATATAAATAAAGGCAAACCTCAAAAGCGTATTTGAACCTTCCGTGGAGTCTACTAATAAATTTAATACATAACCAGTATCATCTAATTCGGACGACGTAATTCTAAATCCAACCCTGAATTTGACTTAAGCAATTTAATTTTAAAATAAATAGTTTTTATGTCATTTGTTTATCTTTTTTATTTCTGCCTAATAATGACTCTATCGTACGAATGGTCTAAGCATTTGGTAGGTTTTTCATACAACTGTTCACATGTACGCGCGGTAACGCGCGTCAACGCGGCGCTCAGAGAAAAAGTCTCTAGACCCGCAGGTCGGATCGCGCGTTGACGCGCGCTTTGATATTAATGTAATGTCCGTTAACCGTTTGCTGTTCAGATGAGCGGGCGCTTTCATCGCGACGCATGTATTTTATTATTTTCGTATAATTTGTCTCGCTTTTAAAATGAGTGAAATTGAAATATTGACATCGACTTACTAATCGATGAAGTAGAAAAAAGGTCAGCAAGTTGGAATATAGCAAATTTGTATAAAAAATATAATATAAATTGTATTTTTTTTTCAAAATTGATAAACCCAATGTTACTTTTCTTTTTCTAATTTTTCTTTTAATATAACCACAAAAAAAGCCTCTTCCTCCATTTTCTACGTTCTACCGAACTAGACTGAGGACTCTCGCAACGCGCGTTAGCGCTCATCATCTGAACGCTCTTCAAATTTGATCGCGGTTGACGCGTACGTTCTGTGAACATAGCCTTAGCCAGCCAGTTTATTAAATGTTGTAACAAACGCTACGGCTGAATATCTTTCAGGCCGCTTGTTAAACGGCGCTGTTTAGTTAAAAGGCTGTTACTTGAACAGCTAATTAGGCTAGTTTGCTGCAACATATACATTATATCGCTAGATGCTTTCCAAAAACAGTTTGATAAAAAGATTTGATATCTACATATATAGCCCGTACTTTTTACCTATATATTAGGTCCTTACATAAGAAATTGGCGTATTTCGTACTGGCCACTTTAATCACGATGTTCTCCTCTTTGGTAAGGAATTCCAAATTCAAATGTGTACAACTATCTACTCATGTATTTGTGCTTTTCGTTGCACTCATTTTACAAAATGGAAAACTTAAAGTATCACATTATTTACGAGTACGAGTTCCGCCGTGGCACTAGTGCTGCGGAAACGACTCGAAGGGTGAATGATGTGTATGGCGGTCATGTTGCAAAAGAAAACACAGTTCGTTTTTGGTTCCAACGTTTTCGTTCTGGAAATTTCGACCTGCAGAACAAGCCCCGTGGACAGCCTGAGACTAAAGTTGATAATGAAATATTGAAGACTATTGTGGAAGCGGATCCATCGCAAGCCACGTCCGAGTTAGCTGCAGGCTGCGGTGTTAGTGATAAAACTGTTTTAATTCACTTTAAGCAAATTGGGAAGATTAACAAGCTTGAAAGATGGGTACCTCACGAATTGACTGAAGTAAACCGGCAAACGCGCGTCGACTGCTGCGTTACATTACTGAACCGGCACAATAATGAAGGTATTTTAAACCGAATCATTACCTGTGATAAAAAATGGATTCTTTACGATAATCGAAAGCGCTCAGCGCAATGTTTGGATTCCTGGCCAGCCAGCCAAATCCTGCCACAAGCGAAAATTAACCCCAAAAAAGTTACTTGTAAGCGTTTGGTGGACTAGTGCCGGTATTGTTCATTGCAGTTTTCTCAAATCTGGCCAGACTATAACGGCTGATGTCTATTGTCAACAATTGCAAAGCATGATGGAAAAGCTAGCGGCTAAACAACCTAGGCTGGTCAATCGCTCCACGCCACTGCTACTTCACGACAACGCTAGACCACACACTGCACAACAGACGGCTACCAAATTAGAAGAGCTTCAATTGGAATGTCTAAGACATCCTCCGTACTCCCCGGACCTTGCTCCAATAGATTACCATTTTTTTCGAAATTTGGATAACTTCTTGCAAGGGAAAAAATTTAACTCTGATGAGGCAGTCCAAATCGGCTTCACAGATTTTATTGATTCCCGTCCGACTGTTTTTTTTAGTAAAGGGATCAATGAACTACCTATGAGATGGCAAAAGTGCATAGAAAACAATGGTTCATACTTTGATTAATTAAATATATTATATTAAAAAATATTCGACTTTTATATATATATATTCAACTTGTTAATAACTTCAAGTTCTACAAAATTAATTTAATAATAAATAAATTAAATTAAATTTTTTATTGCATATTCATTAAGTCTGAGAATCGGCTACGAGTACTATCTATCTTTCAAAGCTTTAAATGTTGAGGGAGGTCCGGTCTACCCCTAAAATTTTATACATACAACCCTTAATTTTCACCCCTCTACGATCAACACCTTTTTTTTTGTTAATTAAAATCTTATGACTTGAAGTCTGGAGTTTTTATACAGAAAAATTCACAAAAAGAAAACGACAGACAGAAAACCGAACAGTCTCTGGGGTAGCATAGCAAAATGTTCCATGTTGGTATGTACTAAAAAGGTAGGCTAAGTAAAATCACATTAAGGAGAAACGAAGTTCGCGGGGGCAGCTAGTTAGAAATAAAAATAACCAAATACAAATCAGCCTCAAGTTTACCTTCAATTAGTAGGAATTATATCCGGATCAAACTATCTAGATACAAGCTCGCAAAACACAACAGCAACAACACATAGAAATGACACTAGCCAAATTATGCGTATCTCGGAATGACTCTGAAGTCTCAAAAACTAACACAGGCACACTGCACGATCATAACAACTTTCAGCTACACCCTCAAATACATGCGCATACACACCCATTCACACCTTACTTGTTCACTCATTCTTAATTTTTAACACTAAAATTATTATTTTTATTTTACATTTTTAAACTGTTTTAAACATGTAACACGGAATAATTGTCTTCTAGTTACCCACAACACAGGGCTTCCCTAGTGTGGGGACTAGCGATAAATGAATATTGTCACAACCCTTTTTGTCAAATAAAGTTTTTATTATTTATTATTATTTTATTATTTACTTACCTCCTGAGCTAGGGGACACAGTAGCAGTGGACCAGTAGTATAAAGTTTAAGCTATTACTACACGGCATTATTTTTACTTTTTATATTTTATAAATGTTTTCCGAAGTGAGATAACAATATGAAACAGGATTTTCCGTGAAAACTGACGACGAAAATTTTATCATTAAGTACAATTATACTACAATATGATTATCTAAGATAGTATGAGATATTGGTGATATGAAATTGGATCAAACATAATTACAAGGATTGGAGAAGTCGACTGGTGGAGTCGCTTTAAGGTGAGTACATTTTTTTTGACAATACATTAATATTTGCTAGTTCTATTGTTATATACATAAATATATTTAAATCTATGAGGAATAATACATTTCTATGCGATATAAGATACTTTAGTAATAGCTTAATAATACAATTAGAAGACCTTTGAACCTAGCAATGATGCTACTCAACAAAATTAATTACTTGTTTCTTCGCATTTTGTACGTATTTCAAAAACATGCTGCATTTTTTTACCTTTTATTACGCAATACAAAAGAAAAATCCTCAAACAAGGTACAGCCGGAATTTAAATGCACCTGAAAGTTGAAGGAATATACTTAATATTGTATGAAATAATTAATTTCCATTGTGTTAGAAGTGTTCAAACCCGGCTGCGCACAGTATCTAGTAAATTAATTAATATAAACCGGGCGTCACTGTCTTACATGTGTTAGTCAACTCATCATATTGACTCTATAATCAGACACTATAATAATAATAATAACTTTTTCCAAGTTATTTGATACATAATGTTGTTTTTTGTAAATATATAAAAAATGAAAATAATATATGACTAAAATATAAGAGCACTTTGTACCTTTGGAAGTAAATAGAGGGTTTAACTGCACAGGCGCTAATTAAAGATTTCAGTTGGCGCCTGGTAGATAGAACCTACCGGTGAACCTGGAGCCGGCGCTTTCCTCGCTCAACGATGCACTTCCACATTGACAAGAATTTTAAATTTGTTTTTTTTTTCTATTTGTTCCATTTTTAATTATTATAATTATTACTTTGAGCGGTGTTGGCCTAGTGGCTTCAGCGTGCGACACTCATACCTGAGGTCGTAGGTTCGATCCCCGGCTGTGCACCAATGGACTTTCTTTCTATGTGCGCATTTAACATTTGCTGGGACGGTGAAGGAAAACATCGTGAGGAAACCGACATGTCTTAGACCCAAAAAGCCGAAGGCATGTGTCAGGCATTCGAGCTGATCACCTACTTGCCTATTTGATTTAAATATTATCCTGAAACAGATTTCTGGATCTGTTTCATGATCTGAGGCCAAGACCTAAAGAGGTTTTTATTATTACTTTGTCGGTTATTTTAATCAAAGTAAGCTTTACTTCAAAAGTAGTAGATTTAGCAAATAAAATAACTATTTTCTTTCTTAAATAAACTAATTTCTTAACCAGCTTTCGATTAAATCCCTCTACCAACCTATTTACTACATAAAGAAAACACGCATTTCATACTTATATTTATTATTATTTACTCTTGCGCACAATTGCAAGAGTGTAATAAAAACTTCTTCTAACTGATACTTTCAATTATATTGTAAATCGATTTTTAAATTTTCTCATCGTTTGAAATTGAAAAGGATAATAATTGAATTATTTATTTTAGGCATTCTACCCCTATTATACAAGGGCCACTTGTTCTACTTAAGTAATTTAGCCTATGAATAACTACTTCAAAGTTGCAACCTAATTGTATCAATTATATAGCTTTATCATAATAATTGTCGCGATAAAGGATTTGATATTTAATATAAAGACATACTCAATATTTTATCTAAAAGTTGATTCTTTATAGATCTTATCAATGTTATTAAATAATATTATACCTAATTTTACGACATACCGAAAAAAGAGTAAGAATTTAATTGATAAGGAATATAATCCATATATTATTTTTAATGTCATTGTAACTACCAATTTTTCAACATTGTATATATTCTAATTCTTTACGTTTCTTTATGTTTTCCTTTACATTAAAAAGGGCACGTTAACGTGTAACGCAAAAGAGTAGGATTCCTAGCGAAGCAACAGTGCCTTTTTTTATATACGAGATGGAAATCCACCCTACTGTTGCACTCGCTCTAAACCTGGTCCAAACATTCAAAAATAGTAGAAGAAATTGTATCCTTGTTTTCGTAGACGAACCGGGGTCTTTAGTTTGTCATTTGTCACGTGTTTATGATTATAAAAGTACGATAATAGAATTATACCGAAACGATAAGTTAGTATCAGGAACAAGGCTAATAAATGATACCAGAATAATCTAGTTTTGAATGTGTATAAAATATATCAGTAAATTCGGAATTATAGAAAACTTCTGCTATTTTGAATATTAGTATTAATTTCGCTTGAATGACTTGCCGAGTGAATTTAGAATAAGTTCTTAATGTCGATTCTATTGGTGAAATTATTTAATGAATCTCTGATTTCAAATTAAAATTTTTGGTTAGGAGAACCCACCCAGACTTGATATTTGCTATTGTCCTCACGATTGCTTTCACCAATAAACGTGAAAAAATCACTGCCCTGCGATTCTGTAACTCACTTTTTGAAATCGCACAGCGAATCAGAATGCGAAATCGTAAAATGACTGCTTCACGACTGATTTAAGCGCGACCGCCGCAACGAAAACCGCTGTGCGAGTTCAAAAAGTGAGTTACAGAATCGCAGGGCTGCTCTCAAAAGGCGAAATGTCAATATCTTCATAGTTTTTAAGAATTGGTTTGTTAGTGGTTTGCACATTTAAAGCAAGCTGTGTTTCGGATTTTAACGAAACACAGCTTGCATTCATAAAATAATTTATTAAGAAATGACTAAAGCTTGTAAATTTCGCCAGCTTACGAAATGACTAAACATATCTTATTTTCTATAACCTATTTATGGACGCATTGCATTGCGTATTTGAAATTATCTAAAGGTATCCATTGTGAAACGTGACTTTCTGTGTAAAGATTTAGCATTCTGATATTTCAGATGGCGACATTTTTTCTAGTATTGTCCTTGGCCTTAGCTGCCTCGGCAATTCCACCACCACCACCAAGCTCAAGAAATACCGTTTTCATCGACGAACAACTTGTGGGACAAATCTTTGAAGTCAAATCTGAAGAAATCACTGACCTTGCCACAAGAAGCACTTCCCAGTACAGACTTCCCACTACTACCAGACCTATCCATTATGACGTACTTTGGATTGTTGAAATAGATCAGCTAACATATTCTGGCACAGTGGAAATAACACTTGTTGCCACTCAAGCGAATGTTCAGGAAATTGTATTGCATTCTAAGGATTTAGACATAACATCCTTAAGGCTTCTTCGCGGAGATACTGTATTAGTACAAGGACTAGGAAATATGGTGGCGGATGTAGAGCTGGAATTTTTGAAAGTTCGAACCGGTGCAGCTTTAGAATACAATGCAACTAATCCTGTTCAATACACACTACAATTTGGCTTTATAGCTGAGTTAAGAAAAGATATGGCGGGTATATACAGAAGTTGGTTCCGAAATTCTTATAATGAATCCGTAAGGTTAGTTTTTTTTTGTCGTAATGTAAAAAATTTTTTCAATTTTATTTACTTACTAGGTTCATTACATTAAAAAACTTATGTATGCAAGAAATGCTTACAATTAAGTTTATTATAAGCCCGGCAACGCACTCGCGAGCCCTCTGGCGTTGAGAGTCTCCATGGTCGGTGGGTATCACTTAACATCTGGTGAGCTTGCATATAAAAAAAAAATCGTATGTCAAAAAACCATTTATTTTTTATTCTAGTCTCTTATGTCATTTAACTGGTATAATCATGAAGTAAGGACTTAATTACGTTATTAATAAATACGCCCTTTTTACCATCTAAAACTATGGACAAAAACAAATAATAATATTTTAACGAACATTGACGAAATGAAACATTTTTTTCGTTTCCTGTAATGTTTGTTTCTCTGGACATACGAGGTTATCATTCTACAGCGACGGTTTTTACTTATGCACAAAATATTGTTGTTCAAATATTAAGCTGGATGGCAACTACACAATTCCAGCCGACTAGTGGTCGGACCGCCTTCCCCTGTTACGATGAACCATCTTTTAAAGCGACCTTCAGCATTCGCATTCGCCGACCCACTGGATTCAAGAGTTGGTCCTGTACCCGCCAAAACACTACCATCGTAAACGTAACCAAGTAAGTAATTTCCGATGACTATTTAGTAAGTTACTAATATAGTATTGTCTTTTATTGACATAACAAATTGGGAAGCTTATGGGGGGGGGGTAGTATACTGCGATTTCAGAGTATACCTGGGGATAGCATTTGTTGTTAATTTTGTAAATCTTAATTGTATTTTATTGTTTTAGTCTAAGTTTAGCCATTGGGCTGTAAATAAATAAATAAATAAATAGATAAATAACCTTTACACGTTTAAAGAAAAAACTTTTTAACCGGATTATGTATTATAAATTTCCAATTATTAAACATAATTTTATATTTAACCGACGTTTCGCGTGCTTTACAGCGTGCGTGGTCACGGTGACTTATTATGTTAAATAATTATAAATTTATAATAATACATAACTTTAATCCGGTTAAAAAGTTTTTTCTTTAAGTTACTAATATTTGAAATTATTAATGATATACAATTCAAAAAAGAATACTATATACGCATTACCTTAGAGTACCTGTAAAAATCTTAGGTGTTTCGGGTCCTCCAGTCGAAACCATGCAACTGTTTTTTTTTCACGTACATATATTTGGTACGCAAGTTAGCGGTAAGCGAAGCGGTGGGACGCTAGTACTGTATATAATAAAAGATATTTGTTTACGAGCTACGGTTGTTGGTCAAATTATTACTATATCAAACGTCATAAGGACTTATTTTGTTTAAGCGGCTTTGATGAAGATGTCTATTCTATTACACCGACTATGTCAACATACCTAATAGCACTAATTGTTGCTAAGTATGATACCAATAAAACACCGGAGGATGGTCTATTGAAATACGAAGTGATTGCTCGGCCTGGAGCAATGGGTAAAAATCAAAGTGACTACGCGTTTGACGTGGGGCAAAAGTTGTTAGACAATATGAGCCAACACACGGCTATGGATTTCTTTAGCCAATCACCAAACCTTAAAATGACTCAAGCTTCCATTCCGGATTTCTCAGCAGGGGCCATGGAAAACTGGGGATTGCTCACTTACAGGTGAGTTACTTATACCGAGGGTGTTTTTGGCACAAGACTGATAAGTGGCTTAGCACATTCGAAGTACATATATACCAATACATACAATCAAAAAAGAATGCAATCAGTTTACTATTTTTAAAGGCAAGTGACCAGTATTGCCTAGTTATACTCAAAAAACCTTTTTTTTTCAACGCAATTTTCATATTATTTTGTACCGGTGACAATTAGAGAATTGTCACTAAATAAATTCAAAGCCCTCGAAACGAAAATTAATCAATAAAGCTTTTTATAAATTTGACGAATATTGAAATAATCCTAATCCTTGGGATTGATTTGCTAAAGTTCAAACAATTTGTATGACTCAATACTTGGCGATTCAAAAGAGTGGCGGAAAGTTTCATGCCAGTTCTTCTTACCCTCTCTACGCTCTTGACTTGCAAACTGGTAGTAAATGTAAATTTACAATTAATTTCTTTTAGACGATTCATAAGTGTACTTGTTTACTATATGAATAAAGATATTTTGAGTTTGAGTTTGAACTGTATCATTATCATAACAATTCCGAACAGCTGTTATATTAATTAAACATATATAGAAAAAAAATCAATCGCTTGTATTAAGTGTTTGATATTGGGCTAATTGATGACATAATCATATTAAAAATATGTCGTATCAATTATTAAAAGGCCGGCAACGCCCTCGCGAGCACTCCGGCATAGAGTATCCATGGGCAGCAGTATCACTTAACATCAGGTGAGCCTCCGGTCAGTTTGCCCCCTGTTCTATTAAAAAAATCACTTACAATACTTGATGATAAAACCATAAATAATGACAAATTAAGGAATTACTCTATTTTTTACAATAATTTCGAAGGCGAATTGGTCTTACTTAAATACAGCATAAAAAGCAACCGTCCCGTTTCAGAGAAGCATACCTAATGTACGACCCTGAACAAACTCACGATCAAGCCAAGCAGATTATCGCTTATATTCTATCCCACGAGATAGCCCATATGTGGTTTGGTAACCTAGTTACTTGTGACTGGTGGGGTCACACCTGGCTAAATGAGGGTTTCGCTAGATACTACCAATATTATCTTACACATTCGGTGAGTGCTAGAGAATAGATAGAAAATTGGATTATAGTTGTTGGAACAATGGCGCTGGTTTCAGCTGCAATTGTAATTATAATGTAATAACAAAGTCAAATTAGTTCGAAACCGTTATGGTTATTTTATTATATATGGTTTATTTTATTTGCCAATATTAGTAGATCTATGCATTAACAGGCTTTTTGAAACTTTGACTTTGATTTTATTAAACTACGTATGTACTGACACCAGCGCCATTGCTCTGATATACTAATTTATTAGACGCATTTTATAGAAAACAATTTAACATATTTAATAACTTGCTTAACTAATAGAATATAACAATTTATAATATTGATAATCATTGTGATTTATAGAATAACAAAACATGGAAGTATAATTTAACTATAAACAAATTAATATTAGTATACTAATTTATTACTTAATAAACTAAACTTAAAGTTTTACGCCCGAACCCAATAACCTATCCATAATCATCAATCAATCCATAATCCACCATCTGAGATAGTAATCGAAATCCATATGTTGTGACAAGTGTGCCAATAACCAATCGACGGATTGATAGCCATATAGCCATGCTATCCATGGGAGGTCGTATCGGCGGATAGACCTTTGTATGAAAATGACAGTTGACGAAAGCTCGATTTCAACAGTTAATTATTGTAATAGATTTTAACTTACACCAGTTTTTTTTTAATAATTAAAAAAACTGTTTATTATGTTTTAAACATACACATGTATATTTTATTTTTATTTGTTCGGTTTCATTTACTTTATTTGGTTTACATTGATTATCAAATGTGAGTGAAAACTCGGTAAAATGGAACGACAAAGAGCATTTTATCCGTCGCAAAATGGATTGTCTTGGTAGGGTTTGGTTATTGGGATGCAGATAGGAGATCGATCGACTGTCACGGTCAGATCTCAGATTGTTTTAAATCCGAGATTGTGGATAACTTATTGGGTTCGGGCGTTAAACGCTTTACAGCACTTACATTCAGCGACAGACTTTTACAACTGATTTTTTTATTTAAGTCCGTAATATACATTTTTTTGTAGGTTGAATTTGAAATGCGTTTTGACATACGTTTCATAACGGAACAAGTGCATACATCTATGCTCGCGGATTCAGCAGACAATCATCCTCTTTCCAACCCAAATGTTGGTAGCCCTAGTGATATTAGTAACATGTTCTCCACAATTTCGTACAACAAGGGAGCAGCTATAATCAGAATGACGGAACATTTGCTCGGTACTGACGTACACACACAAGGTCTACGAGATTATTTAAAGAACAAGTAGGTTTTTGTTTGAATATACTGCGATTAATTTTTTTTTCTGCGGTTTTTTGCAATCAGCCCTAAGGCTATGAGCGATTTTTTTCTGTGGTGCTGTTATGTGGAGTGACTTCCCATTGGAAGCATCTACTCGTCTTCTGTCTAGAGCTACTGCCTGCGATAATTTAGGCAACTTTTAACACTAGCAGATGCGGTGATAACATCCGAGACCGAAAAAGTGCAAGTCAGGCACTGAAGGCCGATCACCTTCTTTCTTATAAGAAAAACATATACTTAATGAACAATAGCTTTTTTAATTAATAAATAATTTTAGTAAAGATTTCACGTCTGTAAAGATCCAAGATTAGATATAAAAATGGTAAATTTCCAAAAAGCAATTTTAAGTACACTTAGCCATTGATCTTATCCCTCTGATGAACCTAAAATTTGCACAGCTCCTACAAAACGGTCGTACCAAGCGACTTGTCACAAACGCTCCACAATGCTGCAGTGCAAGCGGGCGCGATTTCTGAATATGGCACAAACTTCTCAGTTGTTGAGTATTATAAGACATGGCATGACCAACCAGGAGTACCAGTGATCTACGTCGATGTTAACCATAAAACTGGTGACATGACTATTACACAGGTATTATTTAATTTTAAGTATTTCGTTTATGTGAAATGAAATATCTTAATAAATATTGTATTGTTATATAAGATACAATTAAAAAAAATATTCTCCAATCGTATAGCTACTGTCTATATGAGTATGAAAAAACTATTTAAATATTTATTTAATACTGAATTTCTCAGATATGTTATGTAATCCTAAAAGTCTGCTAAATTGTATTTATTAAAAAAAAATAAGCACGTATATGGTACACGACATTACTTTTTAACTAGTTAAATTAATTGAGTTGTTCAGTAGTTTTCACGTTATAAACATACAATTTTGTATTTTGTAATTGTGCGCTTATTCATTCGAAATTCTGTTGAAAGAACATTTCATTCCATTTTATAACCTACACTCTTTTTGTTGGTTAATTTATTATCTAATACAATTATTTCTCGTGTCACATTGTTCGTTCCCATACTCCTCCAGACGGCTCGACCGATTTTTATATATTTTTATCCATATTCAGTAAGTCTGAGAATCGGATATCATCTATTTTGATCCCCCTAGATGCTAAGGGTTTAAAATTAATATACAACATACAACATACATAAATACCCTTGATTGCCACCCCTCTACGATCAACCCCTATTATTTATTATAGTATTATTATATATTTATATTGAACTAAAAAAAATGTTTCCTAGAAATAATATACGTGGCAAAACGACGTTTGCCGGGTCAGCTAGTGATAAATATGACTTAAAGAATATATTAGACATTAGACGAATTTTCTTTCAATTTCAGCGTCGTTTTGACATAAACACGGGTTACGCAAGAGTTAATTATAACTGGCAAATACCAATTTCGTTCACTACAGCCAGTACTGTCAACTTTACGGATACGAAGCCATCTCATGTGTTGACTTCAACAGTAACTGTTGTGAACCGTGGTACTGTGGGTGACGAATGGGTCATATTTAATAAACAACAAACAGGTCAGAATTATAAACTATCTATGATAATTACAAAAAACTTTTCTTTAGAATATCATAGTACCTTTTTTAAATTTAAAAAAATGGGCTTAAAGCGGTTGAAACTATATTTTTTTAAATATATTATGATTAGTCCAATTTCTTCTTATTCACGAATAAATCAAAGTCATATTATTTATACGAATCTTGTCGAATGTAATTTAACATTAAGCCGTGAATGTAATAGTTACATCAAACTCATATTCATTTCAGTAAGTTAACGAAATATTTTTTAGTTATTAAAAATTTATAAATAGAAAATTGAAAAAACTTTTCAAATACTTTTTCCCTGTGGCATACAAATGTGTGTATACGAAATATTTATATTAAAAATATTTACATTAAAACTGGATTATAGCAGCAGTTGACAATTACTTATCGTATATGAGTTCTTAGTAAGTAGTATGTTTCAGGTTACTACAGAGTAAACTACGACGACTACACCTGGAACTTGATTATCGTGGCACTAAGAGGTGCTGACAGAACCAAAATACATGAACATAATCGTGCCCAAGTAAGTGATTATAAATTTATTTATTCATAATTACCAAGCTACTAACTTTAAGAATAGGAAAAAATTACTCCTCTACTGAATTTCCATTAGTATTAAATTCTCGGATCAAACAAGTGTAATTACAAATATTTTGACGTTTCGAGTGCTTTTCAGAAATCATGGTCAATTTAGTAATTTCATATTATTTGTGGTATCTTGTTACAAGGACGTATATCACAGTTAGTTTCACAATAATCACCCGCTCTATCCCTGTGTATTTTTTGCAAATATTATGGTAATGGTGTTACTGTCATTTACATAGATTATTATGTCACAATGGCCTGTAGAAAAATCATTTAAAACCATTAATTTGATGTGATTTAACGTTGTAAATCTCTCTCAAAACTCATAACAGTTATTGTTTATTGCATTGAAGTTTGAATGCACGATCTTAAGGCCCTATCCCAGCACGAATTGCTGTGTCAGTGTCTCGGGGTGGACTGCGGTGCGCAGTGGAGAGCTGGAGCACTGAGGCGCGCCGGCCCGTAATAACCATTAGTTATGTAAAACATTAAATTAATGTGATTTTATCAATTTTATTTTCTGAAATTTACTTTTCGGATTACTTGGCTTGCGATAAAATATATCTTGTAAATTTCAAAATCATATACTATATACATTTTCGTCATAAAATGAATTCAAAGTGTCAAAAATTGGCAATGTTTGGATTTTTTTTCTTTCAAGCGAATTTATTTAAATCGTGTATCGATCTTTCAAAATGGATACATAAACTACTCAATCACCATATATTTTTTCCATTCGCCCTACTTCAAAAAACTATGACGAAAAATGGAAAGAAACAATACTATACTTATACTTTTTTGGAGTTTGGCGACCCGATAGGTCCTTAAAAATGCCTCATCAGAACTAAGCAAATAGTGCACTTGCTATCATTTCTTTATGTTCCACAGATAGTAGACGATGTTCTTCAATTCGCACGATCAGGACTTATGACTTACACACGAGCTTTCAACATCCTATCTTTCCTTCAATATGAGAAGGACTACGCCCCCTGGGTGGCCGCCATGACTGGTTTCACATGGATAAGAAACAGACTAGTTGGTAGCCCCCTGTTAGCGAGATTAGAGGTATCTATTACTTCAATATACGTTAAGTACTTTTATTTCATAATAATTTTATGGAGCGCTTCTTTTACACGTCAACCTTTCTGTGCAAGAGATTTTTTTGTGCAAAGCACGTGTTATTGTAACATACACCAAAGATATAGAAGATATAAGAATATAGAAGTTAGAATGTCACGCTTAGGATACTGCTGCTTGATACTTGCTAGTTATAATTATAGGGACAATACAGAGACCTTAATAATTTTAATAACAACTTCAGTATTGAGTTTAATTTAGTTTCATGGCACGTTATGTCAAGTTTGCAACTTCAGCGCTATAGAAATGGAGTGCTCATTATCATATGAAACAATGTGTTTCTAAAACTATTAACATTATTTACCAGGGACAAATTATACGATGGGCCACACCACTCATGAACGAATTGGGATACACTCCAATCTCTGGTGAAAGCTTCATAAGGTCGTACTTGAGACGTCAAATTGCCCCAGTGATGTGTAATATGGGCGTTGAAGCGTGTCGAACATCAGCAACTACACAATTCCGGCGGCTTATCGACGATCAATTGGAGTATGTAAATATTAAAACTATTGCGTCTGCGCATATATTTCACATCAGGGTCCCATAAAATGTTGTTATGTATTTTCAGAGTAGCAGTAAACAATCGTAACTGGGTGTACTGTAATGGACTCCGCGCCAGCAATAACTACAGTGACTATGCAACGATGTGGAAGAGATTCATAGAACACAACGTTTACACTGAGAAAATTGTATTGCTTCAAACACTTGGATGCACGCCTCTGGAAAGAGCGCTGAATGAGTGAGTAGTTATTGACAAAATTTAGGTTTTTTAAATTTATAAAATGGATCTATATCCATATAGGCTTCTATGTATCTTTCACGCCACAATAATAATTCTTTACAACAATCACAGTGAACACAATTAAGGTATATAAATGTTTCCTGTACAAAAACAACAGCTAAATGAAAATACAAATTTCTGTGTGTAATAGCAGTATTTCACACAACAATTTAATAGTATTTTGGACAGAAAAAGAGGAAATATATATTTTGTTTTTGTAGCTAAATAGTCTATACTAATATTATAAAGAGGAAAGGTTTGAGTTTTTGTTCGTTTGAAATGAATAGGCTCCGTTGGCAAGCTACACTATTCCCGAGTGACATAGGCTATGTTTCATTTTCAAAAAAAATAGGGATGCTTACTAAAACTTGAATAATCTAACCTAAGGTGTAAAAAAATAAACAAAAAACTTCCTTCAATCGTGTGCGCTGCGAAAACTATTAATGATAGAACAAAATGATGTATTACAATTTTTTAGGACACATCACTATCTATAAAAATTGTCGCGACAGCATGTCTCTATCTTTCATAGATACGTCACAATAAGCGTCCCTTTATTATTATTTTTTTAATACCACCGCCAGAAAAGGCTCTTTAGATTACCTAGGTATTGATCCTTATCAAAATAATTACCAACGTTTCACATAAGCTACAATTTAATCGCATAACCACCAAAAAAGCATGGTGGATTAGTGTTCTCCTGCCTTTTCTCTTGAATAGTTTACTACTATGTAATATAACAAAAATCTTAGCCACAGAAACGCTTGGCCGAGTCTATTAGTAGAGTTATATTTATGACGTGGCTAATTTGACAAATGATAAGTTGTGCGATACTATATAAGAGATACCGTATATTTTGCTTCTGCGTCAAATGCCTTTTAAACAATAATTACTGGTTGGGGGATTTATATCTACTTTTTTATACAGGTTGCTTACTTCACTAGTAAAAGATAATTATGAAATTCGCGAACAAGACTACTCCACAACTTTCAACACAGCTCTAACAGGGAATGAAGGAAATACCCAGATTGTGTGGAACTTCATTAAAAGTAATTTAACAGATATTGAGAATGCGTAAGTTTTGTGAAATATTCTATATATCTTAGTTTAAAAAAATATAATTTTCATACTGATATCTGCACTCAGAGGCTTCAATTAAAAGTCAACTGTTTAAAAAGTTTCCGATGAATTGGATGCTAAAGTTACTGCTCGCTTAAATTTCGGAACTGGGTGCGGTCTTAAGGTACTTTTGTAATATACATATTGGCGTAAAGTTTCTTGTCAGTTCTTTTCATTCATTCTAAGCCTTCAGATTAGCTAAAATGTATATGAAAAAATGTATTCACAATTGTTCCAAAGTTCTCAAACCATTCACAATTTTATGAACAACTCAGTGCAGCTTAGTGCTTGAATACACAATTTGTATATTATTTATATAGTTAATATTCAACCAGTAATGTTTAATTGAATATTACTTATTTTAGCTTCGGCTCGGTTTCATCTCCGTTACGAAGCGTTGCTGCAAGACTTAGATCAACAGAACAAATCACCGAGGTAAAGTGTATTTATTATATTTGAAATACAACCTGAATTAATTAAACATTAAATACTGGCAACATTTTCTATACAAAACAATAGCTACTACTACAAGCTACGGGGTTTTGCCATAGGTTTCAGATTTCATGATAAGTTTTCATTAATACAAGTTCGTGAAAAAAACATCAATCAAAAAACAAATGCCGTTAGATACGGAAGGAATCCAACGCAGGACTTCAGAATGAGATTCTGACACCTAATTACCTAACTCTCTCATAAGATATAAACCAATATATAAAATAGATCAAAATATGGCAAGGCTTCGACGAAAAGTGATAAAAATGAGAAGGAAATGTTATTCATCTCGTATTGATGTTTTGGTTATTATGTATTAATGCCCACTTTGCATATTTAATTGTTTCTGTATTTTTGTCTTTCAGTTTCAATTATGGCTGAACCAAACACAAGCTGACCTGGGTGACGCCTACACAAGCATCTATAGAGCTGCAGAATCTGCTCGCAATAGTTTAGCCTTCGCAGACCAGATTCAAAATGACCTTGATAACTACTTGACAAATGGTGACGATAATATTGGGCCATCGACCCCACCACCAGACCCCATTGTCGATCCCCCAACAGTTCCAAGACCAGATGTCACCCCTCCACCAACACCAGATTTGCCTGGATCAGCTATGACAGCAGCGGTATCGATCATCGTTGTTGCATTTGCTGCAATCACTAACATAATTGTATAGTTAAGCTTTTGTTATTAAAATTCATATTTTAATTTAAAAAAATAAAAAAAGTATTTTTGAAGGTTTGTTTTACTTATTTTAGTTATAAAAAGCCTTGAGATAAAGAGTTTTGTTTGAATACGGTTGTAACACGATTTGTAATGTAAAAACTTTTTTTTTTTTTTAATGTAATGGGAGGCAAACGGGCAGGAGGCTCACCTGATGTTAAGTGATACCGCCGCTGTGTGACACTCACAATGCCAGAAGGTTTGCAAGTGCGTTGCCGGCCTTTCAAGAATTGGTACGCTCTTTTCTTGAAGGACCCTAAGTTGCCTTAGAAAACGCTCTGTTGTGGAACGACGGACGTCGAGGACTTATTGGATCGATTTCAATTCCTCATTTGTACCTGAGAAATTCCATTCACTCACGTACTCACATGTACCGCTCAGAAATGACGGCATAGTGCTCAGAGTTATTTTCAGATATAGTAACAGCCTTCTAAGCGTAATTCACGTTGGGTCATTTCACAGGTATTTTTTTGTTCATGGGCTTGTGGTCTATAGTATTGACATAGGCTTTCCTTATTTTTACTGATAAACACGTCATACGTACATATTATGTCATATAATTCTATGATCATGTTGATTTCAACGTTTACAATTAATCCTTTGAATATGACAAAGCGTGTGCCCAAAACTGATTTAATTTTATCTTTTATCGCTCTTTATCCAAGAAATATATTTCATGAACTGATAATTAGATATTACTAAGTATTTAAGTACGCAAACATTATATTTTTTGAAAATAATGTTTTTATTTTTTTACTACTAGCTGGCCTGGCGAACATCGTACCGCCTAACAGTCGATTCTTTATTTTTTTTAAATACTTATTCTGCTATTTGGGACACCGGTCTAGCTAGTAAGATAAAAAAAGAAAGTTGATAAGACAGCAAATTATCATTATATCAAAAAATAAAAATTTACCTTCCCGGAACCCCTCCACTAACATTTGAACTTTATGATATGGTATTAAAGTTAAAATTGACTTTTAAGTATTATTACGAATATTTTGTATGGGAATATAGAAAAGTGTTGTTTTTAGACTTTTTCACTCATTTTTTTTAATTTTTCTCTCCGTAAAAACCATCCTCGTACTTCAAGGAATATTATTTAAAAAAATCAGACAAATCGGTCAAGCCGTTTTCATGTTATGTCGTGACAACGGAAAACGGGTTTCATTTTTATATATATAGATTACAAGGTAGACAAATTATATATAGAAATCACAATCTATATATAACAATTTTCATACATGAAAGCAATCTTTGGTAAAAGCCTACGAAAATCTACTACATATATAACTGGGGAAAATCTAACCCAAGATCGTGCATCCAAATAATATAAGGCTTTTAGGAGCATAATATAATGTATATTATGTTATTATGAAAATGTGTCTGTAAAATAGGTTTATGTATTTAAAGTTATCCTAATTAATATATCAAATACAATTGTATTATGATTAGGAATGTTAAATATGTTAGTTTATTTCAAATTTGGCACTCAACTGACGAATAAATTTGCAAAAAAAATCTATAATTGCTGTCTTGTGACATTAATGTTCATGACAATAATCAAACCTTTCTTAACTTGCTTTGCATTAATTTCCTAAAAACCATAATAGGTAAAATAAACTATATTACAATATATATTAATTAAACAAAACACAATTAGCAAAATATAACCCTAGAAATGGAAAATCATACACTATCTAGTGATAACACCAATTCTAATGATAACGAGATGTGATAGGAAATAGACTCATTACGAATTATGATTCCTACAATTATGAAATGTCAATTTTGTGAAAATATTTAAAAACACATAATAAATTAGCAAAAATCTATTATTAATTAATTAATAATTAATTAAAACAATATTTCTTTGTACAAAAAAATTACATGAAACTCGACAATGGAATTCGTAAAAAAAGTGGCACACGGCACGATTTGGATCATGTTAAAACAGCGAAATAATGGAATTTATTGTCCCTTCCCTAAAAAGTATATACATGAGCTCTTATTTGCATAGGTAGATGTGTTGGCTGCATTGTTACCTCCTGAACAGGCATGCTCTGCAATAAGCTACGTCTCACCTAACATTAGTTGGAATTACGGTAAAACGTATGTTCAGTTTCATACAGTTTACCATTTCACACTACGATGGAAGAGCTTCTATAAGGTATGTACTAATCTATCAAATTCGTCAAATAAAAACGTGACTTAAATATAAATAATATCATCAAAAGATCAACCGAATATTTGCTAAATAATAATCAAAATATTAAAGTTATAACGTCATTTTTAATATAGGCCATTTAAAAGTAATAAATAATTTGGATAAGATAAACGATATCTTTGTATCAATATAATGATAAAGCAAAAACAACCGCCATTATTTATAACTGCAAAAGTGCCACAATGGTGAGTACAGAAATGTAATATATTAAAACAAATATTTGATAATGACAAGAAAAATATAACTTAAAATAGAAAAATAAAACAAATGAATTGTTAATTTGTTTGCAACAATTCGGAACGCACGCCATAAATGTAACAATTATTTCAAGACGCCCCAACATAATTAAATGTCTACAATTTAATTTTTATTTAAATAAAAAAAATATTTTTATAATAATAATAATACTTTATTTATTGCAAGAATATGGTACAAAAATGTTTAGTTGGTACAATCGTAAATCGTTCGCATGTTCTGCCACAGACAATGGCGCGCAAATTTGTCTTAAGGAATTTTATATTTTTAGTCAAAGTCAATTCTTATATTATCTGTATCGTACATATCATACTTTATTAAATTTATATCAATTACAGTGTCTCACGCAAATAATCATTTATTGAATAGTACATTTTTTCCAAAATCTATATATTAACTGTATATTATATCTATATACAGTTAATATATAGATTTTGGATTATATTAACTATACATTACCATCTATAATTATAACTTAAAAAATCGAGAATTAGAAAACAGAATAAAGTATCATAAAAACGAAATCATTAAGTTTAAGAAGAATTGTGTTATGTATTTTCTCTACTTCAGGCACCCCACTGGTACTGTTTGTTTCTGGGAGTGGTACTCACACAGGGACTTTTCGCTTTAAGCCCGATCCCAGTTCCGGAAGAAGAATGGATAGAGTTTTCCAGGATGTTGAGGGATCCTCAGTACCGTCTCCCAAGAACATCTATCCCGCAGAAGTATCAAGTGACTCTTACGCCATACCTGGATATAACTTCTACTCCCAACGTTACTCCGTTTACATTTGACGGAGAAGTTACCATTGACTTAACTGTTCTAACAGCAACAAATGAAATTGTGTTACACTGTAATGATCTGACAATTCACGAGTTAACATTAACAACAGCCACAGGGATAGCGGTAGCATTAGAAAATAATATATTTACTTGTGAAATGCCGTATAGTTTTCTAAGAGTGCGGGCAACATCACAGTTAACACCTAACACGCAATATACACTTAAGTCTAGGTTCAGTGGAAATTTGCAGACTAACATGAGAGGGTTCTATAGAAGTTGGTACAAGGATAGCAATGGTCAAAAGAGGTAAGAGCTGCAGACATTGTACCTATTGTTTGGATTGAAATTCAATATATAATGTATAGCAGAGAAATAGCAACTAACGAATAGGAGTTCTTTCTTTTATTCTTCTTCTTTTAGAGCCTCTCCATTAATGGAGGTTGGCCAACAGTCTGTTGAAGCGTGTCTTGTCCTGTGCCAGATGACTCTTCCGCAGTTGCAATACCCGTCCGTACTGAATAGGAGTTAGAACTATAAATATATAAAAGGGTTAATTGTTAGAAGGATATGGGGGTGGGATTTACTATCTTAAATAGACAATCAGATTCAAATCGGTCATTTTAAAAGTACATTATAAACACAAAAACTGGTTTAACTTTGAGGGTGTGACGCGAATTCTAGAAATATCGATGGATCTTTAAATATTGAAGTCAGTCTATTTGAGAAACTTAATAAGATTTTTTAAGAGCATTATTTTACTTTAATCTAATAAAACTAGACTTAACAAAATATACTTTAATAAAACATTCGGTTTCTAGCTAATCAAGTTAATGATAATAATTATATATTTAATAAAACACTATTTTGACCGGATTGAAGTTATGTATTATTATAAATTTACAACTATTTAACATAATTTTAAATTTATCCGACGTTTCGCGTGCTTTACAGCGTGCGTGGTCACGGTGACGGTTTATAATAATACATAACTTCAATCCGGTCAAAATAGTGTTTTATTAAATGAATAAAAGTTATGTTAATCAAAGACAATACAATAATTATATATTTTTTTAAATGTTACTAAATAATTAAAACGTACCTATTACAAATTACTATAAATTACAAAAGACATACATCTATCATCTGTATGTTGATTTGATATACATAATAAAAATGTGATCACGTCTATATGTAAATTCCAATTTATTCTTTGTGTGGCATAAAATTGCTTAAATTTCAGATGGTTAGGGTCCACACAATTTCAACCAGGTCATGCCCGTCAAGCTTTCCCTTGCTACGATGAACCTAGTTTCAAGGCATTATTTGATATAACGATTATAAGAGATTCCACGTTACAACCAACTGTATCTAATATGCCCATCAAGGCCACCGAAATGTGAGTACAAATACCAAAAAATGTATTGATTAATTTTTAATTATATGTATAAATATTATATGGCTGGAATTTAAAAAAAGAAAAATTTAGTGGACAAATCTTATCACTTTACATGTAATTAAATCCCCGTAATTTTTTGATAAAATATTTGACTTAACCTAAGAAGACTGTCAAAAGAAAGCTTTATAATATGTAGAGTTAACACAACATACTATAAAAATTCCAGCCGTTTGGATCACTTCTAATTAATTCATTTCATAAACGATTGCTTCTAGAAATATAAATAAAAATTGCCAATATTCTCAACGTTTTCCTTTTATTTGCAGTGGCACTGGAAGAGTATCCGAAACCTTCTACACAACCCCAAAAACATCAACATATTTACTCGGTTTTATAGTTTCTGACTTTGAAATAGTAGCCACAAATAACAACGCTACGCACCCATTCCATATCTATGCACGAACTACTGCGAGCAAAACTGGGGACTTTGCACTGGATATGGGAATTAAACTATTGGATATCATGACGGATTACACTAACATCCCATATTACGAAATGGCTCCAAACATTGACATGAAACAGGCAGCAATTCCTGACTTCTCAGCAGGTGCTATGGAGAACTGGGGCATGCTTACATACAGGTATAATATTTGTTAGATTCCGAGACGTGATTTAGCGCTAACTGTGACGACTCTCATATCTCAAAAACCTATTGGATTTGACGTATGGTAGTGACACAATTCTAGACTCAAAAATAACGTGTGCGTAGTAATATTAGTTCTCTTTTAAAGAAGAGTGACATTCACAATAGGATTACAAAAAATAAGGGAAAAAATTTCCAGCCATCTTACAGATTGCAGAAACTAAATACTTCATTTAAAGGCCTAAGTAGACGCTGCTATAACATGATTCCTAGTAAAATATTAGAACTGCCTTTAAACAGATTCAAAACACATATTAAAAAAACATTAATGTGTAAAGTTTACTACACAGTTAATGGCTACCTAGAAGGCAAAAACGCGTGGCAATAGTTCTAGTTATATTGTTATAATTTGTTTTATTATCTTTGAAGTGTTGTGAATATGTGTGTAATGGTGAATGTGGTAAATCACAGAACAGATTTTTATTTTTTTACTTATGTAACTTTAATGACTTTGTAGTGTATGACATTTTCATTTGAATAATTGTAATGTAGAGGGAGGGTTAAACTTGCTGAGTTTCTTGACCGTTCTTCTCAGAACAAGGCCTCCTGGTAGTTTTGCGAACGGATGGCGTAGTCTTGCTCTTTCACGAATTTTGACATTCATAAGCATGCCCTAAGACGCATCTAAATTGAATAAACGTATTTTGATTGGATTTATTTGAGTTAATCGTTGCCTATTAAGAAAAAAAAAACATTATGTAGATCATGTATTCCAACTGGTATTGTGGATGAACATTCAAAGCTACGAGCTTATAAATAATTATTTTAGGGAAGCTTTTCTCCTTTACGACGAAGACAACAGCAACCATTGGTACAAGCAAAGAATTGCGAACGTAATAGGACATGAAGTCGCCCACCAGTGGTTTGGAAACCTAGTCACGTGCTCGTGGTGGGACAATCTGTGGCTGAACGAAGCGTTTGGTAGATTTTATCAATATTATCTGGCTGAAATGGTGAGTTTTTGGTAACACGGTTTCTTAAAATGACAGTTATATTTTTCAATTAAATTTCATGACTTTTATACAAATATAGAATACAGATATTGGTACTTTTAGATAAATTTTCTTGAGAAGCGAATTTATTTCGTAATATTATAGCTTATCACCGGAACTATCAAGCGTTGAAATTTGAATTCGTATGCTAATATAACTTACCAGGAATATTTAACTTGAATAACACATAGTGCACCAATCTAAAAGATACTAAAATAGGCAGGTAAACCATATTATCTAAAAATATATTCTTATCTCGATGACGTCATTGTTATTATATCCTGCTGATGATAGGGGTTTTAAAAGAACTACATTAAAATTGGCTTTCATTGTAGAATGATGTCATATTTAATAAAAAATATAAAAGAGCTTTTTTGAGTCACAGATTCGGTTTCACTATTACAGATTGCTCTGCAAATTTCTGGGTATTTAGGGTGCTACAGTATATCAAGTGTTTTGTATTTTATTAATAGTTCTCTGTGATATATTTTCGTTCAATGAAAATTTTTATAGTAATTGAGCCTTAAATACTGTATCAAATATAAAAATGTTAAAAATATTATAAATTAACTAAATTTTAGGGTGCTCCAGAAATGGGCTTCAACACAAGATTCATTGTTGAACAACTCCGAGTGTCAATGTTATCTGATTCGGTTGATTCTGCGCATGCGCTGACAAACCCCGACGTCAATGATCCAGCTAGTGTGTCAGCCCACTTTTCAACCATCACCTATGCAAGAGGCGCATCTATGTTAAGAATGACGCAATACCTTCTCGGTGATGGAACTTTCGTTAAGGGTCTCCGGAAGTTCCTTGATGCCAGGTACAACAAAAACATCTTTGTTTGATATAAGTTGTTGGTTGAATAGAAGCATATCCTGACGTTACGATTTTTAATAATTTATCCCCAGGTCATTAATATTTGGGCCATACTTTCTAGTCATTTGTCAACTTTCGTTCCTGTTTTGTCAACAATCGATTCCCGCCTTACTTCCTGACGTTAAACATATCATACAATTATTACAACATACATTAGAGGATATTCAAAATGTATTAAATGTCAACAGGAAATTTGACGTAGCAGATCCCAGTCACCTCTTCTCTGCCTTGGATGAGGCTGCGAGGGAGGATGGAGCTTTGGCCAATTACAATGGCGTTACCATCAAATCATACTTCCGGACATGGTCAGAAAGAGCTGGTCATCCACTCCTAACAGTTACTGTTAACCAAACCAGTGGACAAGTTCGCATTAACCAGGTAATTTGTCTTGACGGTCTATATTAAATTATAGAATAAGTACTGTTCCTCTCACCTAAAGGGATGATGTTGATGTGTTGATAGCCCCGTAGTGGTTATCTACGGATGCAAGTCCCACATAAGCCTACGCTCCAAACATTTACGTCGAGGATACGTGTAATGCATTTACCCACATACAAAAAAAGGGTGCGTGTACTTATGTACGCGCGTAAGAAGTTATACTTCCTTGGTATTATTAAAAATACTTTTGGATTGCATGCAAATAATTAATTACAATTAAATAATCAAAGACTGGGAAAGGGGTCATTATAGTCAATAAAGTTCAGTTTACATTTGAAAAATTAAATAAATAAATATTTATTATTATTCTCTTACATTAAGTGTAACATAAATAATTTAGAATTATTCTATTATTATTTGAATGTTGTTTTTAAATTATGTCCAATGCCGTAGTAGCATCTTCTGTGGGCAACTTCATACTGATAATTTTGTGTCACGGTGCGCGCGCATCGTAAAATTTCACTCTCATCAAATTTTCATAATTATGGGGGTTATTATTAAAAATTATGGGAGTTCAAGAAGTCGTCGTTAATGGAATTATATAGTTATTGAGTATATATTATTATGTATTACTATGACACATTTTGTATTTATAATAGGCTCGCTGGGAACGTGACACAGGAATGTCGCAATACAGCCAAATCTGGCAAATACCTATAACATGGACTCGGGCTAACGTTTCTGATTTTGACGATCTAAAGCCATCGCTCATAATAACTGAAGCAGCTGCCTCATTTAATAGAGGGACCTCTGGTCCTGAATGGATCCTACTTAATAAACAACAAACAAGTAAATATATTTCTTTTCTAAATCCGCATAGAATCACATTAATAATAATTGATCAAAATACTTTTTAAAAAGTGCCTTAATTTACCTTACAAATAATGACGACAGTTTATCGACTGCTTTCCCTTTTATAAGATTTCAATATGAAATAGATAAATACACCGTAACACTATGACTGACAATGCCGAGGTTTTTGTATGCATTTTCAATATCTTAATATATATAAATTACGAGTCATGTTGTTTGTTCGCTATGGACTCCTAAACTACTCAACCGATTTCTTTCAAATTTGCACACCGTGTGCAGTTTGATCTAACTTAAAAGATAGGATAGCTTACATCTTAATTTATACCCCGCATGATTATTTTATAGCAAATGATTTGTTTATTATTTGACAGTCACAATTCTAACAGATGGCGCTGTGTTGAAAGTACCAATGTTTCACATAAGCTATAATTTAATGGCATAACCACCAAATAGCATGGTAGACTGGTGTTCTCCTGCCGTTTCCCTTGAATAGTTTACTATTCTGTAATATAACAAAATCTTAGCCACATCAACGCTTGGCCGAGTCTGCTAGTAATTAATAGTTATCTCAATATAAGTAGCGCCAATATCGTACTCTAAGAGTCGCACAATACAAAATTTTTGCTATTTAGACTTTTGCTGTTAATTTAAAAATAGACAGACCTTGATAATATATGTTTTTTTCAGGCTTTTACAGAGTCAATTATGATCATAATAATTGGGTTCTCCTCACAAGAGCCCTTAGAAGCAATTCAAGAACTGCGATTCACGAATTTAACAGGGCTCAGGTAAGCTTAGAATAATAAGACGCTTATCAAGAAATCTATAACGTCTTATAAACACTTTGTACTTTATAAACGATCATATTTACAGACATAATTACGTTTTTTAACGTAATACGACGTAGTTCTCTAATAACCCGTAGCGATAATTTCGCCACCTCATTGGGTGTTGCTATGACCCACTGAAGACGTTTTTGTTCTATTGGATATTTGGTCTGAATAATTAAATATTTGTAACAAAATTATGGCTCTGATAATTACGATAATTTATATATACTATCAGAGCTTTACGATAATATAAGTTGTACATTCTTAGTATTATATCTTTAATAGATTTTTTTATGAGTAATTAAGAGATATGATTAAAATTATATACCTTTTAATCTTTATTTTGGACTTTATTTTTATATTATAAGTCTTTAATCATGACATTTCTGGGTTGAACATAAAACACAATATATTCGTCTATCTTCATTATCTGTTTTTTTAGTTTATCGTTGAACGTTAATAATTACTGTTTTTTGATTTAAATTTAAATTCAATGTTAAGAATTAAATTAAATTTCCAATTTTGTTATGACTTATGACCCATTAAGAACTTAAAATAATGTTTAATAACTTTATTTTTCATTACAAAAATGTATTTTTATTTACATGAGAAACATAATATTATAATATACGAACGAGATACTCGTCGCCATCAGCCATCCCAATTTCAATCTACTAAGCTCATTCTAATATGTATCTTTAATGCCCTTTTGAATTGATTAAATACGCTAATATTATGAATTTTAGATGGTAATTGATTTAATAATTGCACACCCTCATACTTAATAAACTTCTTTAAATGATGTCAACGCGGCTTCGGCAAGATAAGCAAACTAGAATCGACGAGTTTTGAACGTTAAAAAATCGGTGTGTATTAAGCTGATTGCATAGATTCCTTTATCGCGACCTTTAGCGCGGAGACCGAATGGGCAAGAAATTCCAAGTAACGAAAAACCTTACGCGTTAGAATGGGTTTGAACAATACTTTGCATTCCCATCTCTCTAACTAATTAGGTGGCGTGGGGAGCAGGGTACCTTAGAATACAGCCAGTATACGAAAGAGTTAGTATACAGACTATATATGTTTCAGATATGAGTCCTGGTAGAGTGGTAAATTGAACTAAAAATATCAAAAAAAAAAACTGTGAATTTGATAAAAAAAAAATAAATACATTTGTAGCATTAATAAAAAAAAAATAAATAATTATATCTAAATAAGTTGAAGAAAAAATCATCCCCCATGCAATTTGATCGTGGCCAGGCCCTAGAGTACCAATCACGGATTATCTTTTTTGAGCATAGGCATGCCACGTATCTTCTTCATTTGGATTTAATCATCTAATTTTTAATATACTTTTTACAAATTAGTAATTTTTATAATATTTTGTAGATCGTTTCGATGATCTCGTTCTAACTTTCACAAGGTATTTTATTGCATACATTTCAACACAACTTCAATATGTATTTCACTTCTTGGCTAATTCGAAGATCAGTTCACACCGTGGTTTCTGCTATTACCGGTTTCTATTTCTGAAAATAATGCTATGGCCTTCGATTCTGGGCTAATTTAAAAAAGCTAGATCGTACGTAATAAAGTAAATTTAGCATTAGTGTATATCTTTGCATGGTACTGTCATATTATACTTGAATCTTTTAAATAGTTCCCTGGTCTCCTTCAAGGGACCCGGCAGATTAAATCAACCTCTCTGACCGCTGCACCATTGCATATTAAGAATGGATTCATGTAACGCAGAAGATATAATGCCGTAACGAACATTATGTTTTGAATGTAATAAAAATAGACCTATGTTCCTTTCTACATTGGTTAAATCTCTTAAGTTACTAGAACTTCATAAAGTCTTAGCTCATACGCCCTACGCCTCGCCTTTAAATCATGTGTGCGCTGCTTTTAAATAAGCTACCTCGCTTACAAGTTTTGAGTTGTACTAAATCGTTGATGTAAAGTATTGCATATATTTTATCAACGACCTTTCAGCTCGGCGTACCTTTGAATCAAGAAATATCGTAACGAATTTAAATTTTCGTTTAGTTTAGTGTTTTATTTTACTTATAATTCTTTTTCATCTTTGGATTGGTTGTGTAGGGTGTGGGAGTTGGCCTGTGCTAGCCGGTTGCGTTAGGGTGACTGACTATAATAGGTGTTTATGGTTGAGTATGGTAGAATTGTAGATTGAAATAATTTCAAAGAAAAATTTGAATATGTTATATTAAAGAAAACAAATACTCATAAATAAAAAATAAATACCAAAATTATATCTGCAATTAGTGATAAAAATCTCGATTGCTATATGTTGCAGTCTCCAAGTACTAATTTTTATTTATTTTGTAAATAATGAAATTTCTCCAATTCATTTGTACTCAAACAAATCAAAAAAATCTCTGGGACAAATTGAAGTAATTCTTTATATTACTTTTGTAGCTCGTTGATGATCTCTTCAACGGTGCTCGTTCTGGAATACAGTACGTTAAAGTACAAACCTTCAATGATTCCTGGCCTTCTTGATAAAAATAACAGTACAAGCACCGTTTCAGAATGCCAGCTATTACCGGTTAAATCACTTCTCGCACGATGAGCCGCTTTGAGCCTGCAATTCTGTTAATTTACAAAACCGCTAGACGTAAGTAATAAAGTAGATTTAGCAGTAGTCGCTGTGCTGTATCCTTGTAGAACTGCATATACAGAACGTAGTTATACGCTGGATTCACATCACACCCGGCAGTAAAATCAACCTCTCCTAAACCGATTCTGCCATGGCATATTAAGGATGTATTTTCGCAAAGATATATTATGTACTATATTGAAGCTCGTATAAAGCACGTTGAAAACCAGGAGAGCTTTCCTTGTGGTTTACTTCGAGAGTGACTAGAACTAAAAGTCCTCTGCAATATCGGTGACGAACAATGCTCGCTTTCTACCGCTTTTAAAAGCTACCCTTTCGAACAATGGAAAAATTAAATTGTTTAGCATTTTCTTAATGAAGCTTTCATTTTGGCGATTTAAGTTGTATTATTATTTTACGGTTTAGTATGCTATTATTATAATATTAGCTTGTTAGGTTGTGCAGTATTTTTCCTTGTCGAGCTTGAAAGGTCTTAGTGAGATAATTGATGTGTATGTGTATGGAATGTAACATTTGTGATGTCATATTTTCTTGCATATTATACATCTCAAAAGATGTTTTTGAACTTATAAATTATAAGTATTCTATGCCACAATAATGTAATTGAGATCTCAAATGACTCTTGAAGTGAATTTATTGAATCTCAAACTAAAATTATTGAATTAATTTTGTAAACAATGAACAATACTTAAAATTATGTGTATCCAACCAAACAAGAAATCGTTTCACACCTGTACCATGATGAATTATTTTTATGCGAAACATCAACACAGTTTAATAGTCTCAGGGGCAAACGGGCATTTGTGAGGTACAGAACCTTATTTTAAGTCTAACGTAAAGCCATTGACACTCGTCATTAGAGGGCTCGCGGTGCGTTGCCGGAGGTAACCAGCGGTGTTTCCTTGATGGTTTGCTTCTCAATACAGAACTTGAGTGATGCAAAGTAGTGCAGATCCTGCTTGCAAGAAATGGTTAAAGCCATTGACACTCTACCGTTGAAACTGATGTTTAGAATAATCTTCGTTGTTAAAGAGAATGTAAATGAAGAAAATATATATGCTTTAGTCTCTTGAGCATTTTAACGGAAAAACGTATTAAAATAATAAATATAAGAAGATCTGTAGCGTTTTTGTCGAACCAATTAGGTCGTGGCCTCTGATTGCTGAGTTTGTGACGGGCGAATTTTCTTAATCTAGAATTTATTTTTCAAAAAGTAATTATTAAAAATGATGTGACGAGCCTGTACGTTTACAGCTGGACACTTCCTCAATTCCAGTAAAGGAAATCAATCAGTGGCGCTGTGGCCACCACTTTAGCGGTTTGTGCTATAGATTTGCTTCTCAATCTGTTCATTCATGATCATTTTTTAAAGTAGTAGGCAAGCTGATAGGAGATCGGCTCCAGGTCCTGAAACTGCCCGTCTAAGACTGATTTTTAGATCTAATAATGCCAGTTTTCCTTCGATGTTGTCCTTAAGTTCGTTTGAGAAATGTAAAATGCGCACAAGAAAAGAAGTCCATATGGTTCATAGCCTGGTGATTTGAACCCGACGATTACATCAAGGTCTTAGATTCCGCAATCTGATTAGCTACTAGGCCAAAACTGCTCAATTATGTGTATTACTCAGATAAATAAAACTCCCTTTTTAGAATTTACCCGAATATGCGCCCATGGGTCTACTGCAATGGTCTTCGCCAAGGTACAGCTGAAGATTTCACATTCTTCTGGAATAAATATCTTGATGAACAACTAGCCACTGAGGTGGTTGTTATGCTGACTGCAGCTGGTTGTACTAAAGACACAGCTGGTTTGGAAACATTCTTGAGTGCTATCATAAACGCTGATGAAATTATCAGGCCTCAAGATGTCTCAACAGCTTTAAGCTCAGCAGTAACTAGTAATGAAGAAAATACTATGAAAGTATTGAATTGGTTGAATAGAAACATCGCTCAAGTTAATAGCAGGTAAGATTTATTCTTGGATAATAGCTTTTAATACAATCAATTTATTTGTTTATTAATTGAAAAACAGCCAAGAATTGAAACTAAGACTAACTTAATTCCTCAAAGTACAAATTACATTACTATTTGAGTTTAAAAAACTTTTTAATTTCCTATTTATGTACCTCGGTCTTATTATACCTATCAAACTTTGGCTAATACTGGTGTGAAACTGAGCTAACGGTTACGCAGCGAAAGGCTTAATTCGTGAGTGCTGACATGGATAATACATAAACATTTACTTACATTTTAGAGTATTTTGTATAGATCTTAGGTACTATTTTAATATTCAGTAATTTTTAGTATTTAATTGTAAAGTTGACTCAACATATTACAGCATTTTTTCAAATATACATAAATCATTTGAGACTGATCGATTGATTGAGATGATCTTTGAGACTCGCTGCTTTTCTCGAAATATTGTCTTTCCCACTACGAGTAAGTTTTAATAACATAGAAGGTTCCATTAGTGCACAGCCATGGTTCAAAAGCAATATAAGAATAGATGGACAGTAATGCTCACTTCTGTATTATTAATTAATTTTTTTTAATAGACTCGGCAGTGCATCGACATTCGTCAGCAACATTGGTGGTCGGCTCCGCAATGAAGCACAAATAACTGAGGTAATAACGATATGAGGTAAATCAAAAAAAGGTTTTTGGCTTAAATCTCAAAAAGATTATACATCCGTATGAGGTTATATAATGCTCTTATTCTGGCAACAGTGACAAAACAAAAATGCCATATTTTTTTAAAAATGCAAAAATCGCTTTATTATCGAATATTAAATATTTTTATTTTATTTTATTAGTTATATAATACAATTAAACAATATTTACAGTTTTCTTTAACCTAACAGATAAAATTAAAAATTAATTAAAACTATTAAAAAGAAAAAAAACAAATTCAAAAAGTTTGGTCCCTGCGGCAGTGTACCTTTAACGCTGGCAGCATTTCCTCAATTAATGCCATAATAATATATCACTGTGAAAAAAAAAAAAAAAAAACCGAGATTCGGTCCTAAATAAGGCTTCTTATTACGTATGGTATGTATTTAGTACATAATTTGTATACAACTTTTCAGTTCCAAAACTGGCTTGACGGGAATCGCGAAGTCCTTGGTGCTGCGTACACCACTGGTGTTAACTCTATTGCAACTACCAGACGTAACATGGCCTGGTCAGCTAATAGACTTAGCGAGTTCACCACTTACTTCGATAAAGGCTATGTTGAGGAAGAATTAGATTTGGATGAAGCTGAAGAAGTAGAAGAAGAAGACCCTGAAGAAGACACTGGCGGTGACGCCAGCGCTGCAGCATTGAGCACCATTTTGCTTCTAATAACTGTTTCTATTAATATGTATGCGTAACTGTTGTTTTAGAATTGAGAATGTATATCATAAGACAATGATTAAATTATTTTTGTACAATAATACGATAAATTTTTGTATGAGACTTTGCACCATACCTGATACCAAAGCTTAACTAAAAGTTCATTTACACTGCTAGTTGATCGAGAAATGTATATTCAATGTAATTTATAATAATATACCTGAGAGCTGTGAGACCTCCTTAAGTTACATAAATTTAAAAGTCAAAAGATTCGTCCATTTGGATTTCTAAAAGTGCTGTTTCTTTTCGCACTTTTATAACTACGTTAATTTATTTAGCACCTAAATAGCAAGTGACGTTTATTTGTATCGTGTTCGAGCACGTACCTTTTTTTATATGAGGTGAAAATGCGCTTACGCAGGCCCGCGCCATGTATGTCAAGCTTGACTCGAAGAATGTGGGGCTGGGTCTACACTAAATGCCCTCTGCCCTTCACACGGCCTTAAGATGGGCCCTCGGGGTTTGCCCGGTACTCTACTCAAGGGATCCGGGTTTATATCCGGCATACAGAGCTGAATCACGACCTGCGGTTCCAGGCAACTCGAAACCGAGATCCCAGCCTTGAACCACTAGCCAGTCTTTGGTTATCCCCAGACCTCTCCCTCAATCGCTCAGCAGTCTCCTTCTGCAGCATTAAATGCTCACAGAAGGAGACCATTGCACTCCAGGCCTCTTCACTTCCTAACCCTCTTTAATAAGGTCCACCCCTATGACCGATACCAGATCTTGACCAGCTCGTACCTAATGTGTGTATTGTTTATGTCAAATCTGAAACTACTTATTCGGCTTTTCAAGCACATATGAAACAAAGGTTTGTTTATTAAATCCATAAAGTACTTAGACGCAACTCCGGCAGCCAAAATCACTTGGAGGTGTTCCAATCAAGATCCCCCAAGATACCTACATATATGTATTTCTTTATTTCCAACACACAAATGCACAAAACAGAAGGACATGAACTAACCTTAAAACATAATAACTAAAATATATTATTAAAAGGTGTCCCTTTAGGCAAGGTTCCGAAGATACTGGTAGCCTTTGAATCGCTAGACTAATTCTTTGTCCGAGGTAGCTGCCAGCTCTAAAGTTAAAGTAAGTTAAGTTAAGTTGTATTTGGTTATGTATATCTTGTACTTAACCCTAAGTATTTCCTTTTCTTTTTTCTTACAAGGGTTGCCTGGAAGAGATCGATTGCTAGCGATAGGATCACCCTTTGCATCCGTTCGTCGTTCATTCCGTATTGTTATTTGTATTTTTTTTTAATTCAACTTGCAATACAGATGTATCGTAGTGTAAGAATTATGAACTGCTTATTATTATATATTTTATTTTATAACAAATGGTGACTTTAACCAGTATAATACTCCCAATGATGCAAACTCCCAAGCGAAATTAAAGAATTATAACTAAATAAATTCAAAACTACAAAACTTTACTTCTAGTTAAACGTAAATTAAGCAATAAAGCTGTTTATAAATTTGACGATTATTTAAATGAGCCTATTCCTTGCTCCAGTTCAAATATTTATGGCTGCACTGCACTGCCTTACAAACAATTTGTATCACTCAAAACTTGGCTTGGATTAAAAAGAGTGGCGGAAGTTTCTTGATAGTTCTTCTTGCCCGCTCTACGCCCTAGACTTGCGAACTGGTAGTAAATGTAAATTTAGAATCAATTTAACATCTTGTCTGTTGACATTCATAAGTGTGCTTGGACCTATATGAATAAAGTTATTTTCAGTTTGAGTTTGTTGCGACTAAAATATTTTTTAGATTACAATTTATATGTGACAGTTTTTTTTTATTCCGAGGCATTTTTATTCCCTTATATTTTGGTACCAGTTAAAGGTATTTTGAGTTTGAGTTTTCCTATCGGTGCGTTAAGTAAAGACGTCGAACTACAATGCCAGCTTACCTTAGTGAATATAATAATATTAAATGACTTTATTGAATTAATCGTAAATTCAGAAACTATGTATGACCTATGCATCATCGAGACTTGCCTATTTTCTATATGTCAACAAATCGTCATATATTCGGCTATACAATGCGTGTCTCGAAACCGCTGAAGATAGACCGCTCCAGGTGGTATGCTGCTGACCACAACCCTTGGATAAAAGTTACCGGCCTATAACAGAGAATCAAAATTGTGTTGTAACATAATCGCGTTATTCACAATTTATTAATATCACTTCAGTGATCAACCCCTTCTTAATCAAGAAAAACTCTTTAATTAATATTTCTTAAAAATTCCCAATATCAAGATAAGTACACTAGTCACAATAATAATTATCTGGTAATTATAACAGATAAGACGATTTTCTATAGATAAAGGAAATAATTTCAATTTAATGTATTTTGTATTTTAGTTAATGGTTTGATACCGGCTGGGTTACCATGGGTAAGTTTTGTTCACTCAAAAATATATTCGCTTTTAAAATAAAGTGAAAGCATAAAATACTCGTAAGACTGAGGTTTCAAAACTTCATTTAATAAAAAAATAATAAACATTGATAAATTAGTGATGTAATCGTTTGCAGATTTCAATTTAAGTTCAAATATAGAATTTTTGAGTAAGTATGATGATTGCTCAATCAGAATAAACCAGGCTTTTGCAGTTGTGGAAGCACATAGGTTGTGAAAATGAATTTTATTATACGCAGTGAGCATGACGTTGTTGATTAATCAAGAACATATTTAAGTCCCAATTGCAAATTTTTATATAATTTGTAGGCAAATCCTATATGTACTAGACACGTAAATAATGACGAATTTATGATAACCTTATCCCTAATTTAATATAAATGCTTACTAAATGCTCCAAACAAGAATATCTACATATTGCATCTGTATCGTAAATTAAGTGGTTAAGTGGCCTACTTTGTAATCGTGGCTTCAGTGCTAATCACTAAATATATATATTTTTTTTTTAAAGACAATTCACACCAATTGACCTAGTCCCATGCTAAGCTGGTGAAGCTTGTGTTATGGGTACGAGGCAACGGATATACATACATATTATAGATAGATAGACATATAAATACATATTTAAACACCCAAGACCTAAGCACAACACCAAATGCTCATCACATCGATGTTCGTCTCAGCCGGGGATCGAACCCAGGACCCATGGATTCGCAGTCAGGGGTACTAACCACTAGACCAATGAGTCGTCAAAGTAATAATACATAATATTCTATAATCACACAGTAAATATCAGAAACCCTAGCGTAAATAAAAAATGTAAATTAATTTTACACGGATCCAATAGATTTTTTTGTATAATTTAAAACATGCTATCAGAATGACATCGCAAGGGAAGTGGCAGTTCTTGGAACCTCACAATCATTTAAACAAATGCAAAAATAGGTCAATTGTTTCCCTTATCTCCTATTAAGGAATACAACATAATTTTCTTTATAGATCTGAAACTGCTGGTGACCATAATAGCCCTATCAGTGGGGCTGGCACATACCGAGCCTCAAGATGAACTTTATAGTTTTGAATGGATAGGATACAACACGAATTTGGATGACCCTAAATACAGACTCCTGGATAATGTTCAGCCTTTACAAATATCTGTTGATTTAGATGTATACCTAGAAGAGTCTAGGTTCAATGGTATCGTGCAGCTACAAGTTCAGGTTAGTGGTCATTTCGCCGAATTGCTTTATATCAGTTTAACATAATGTTTTTAGTTTTTTTTTTTAATAAATTACATTTATCGCAGGTAATATACGAGAATGAGACTTATTTTATTCAATATTATATTAATACATAAATTAAAGTAATAAGGAGGAGCGAAGCTATCCATTACATAAAGATTATTTTTTTTGGTTATTGACACGACGTCGAAAAAGCAATTTTACAGTTACACAGTTAATGTGACAAGTAAATGAAACTAGCAAATGTACAAACACACACGCTAATAATGACTAAAATATTTGAAATATTTTTAAATAATATGTTTTATTATATATACAACATATATTAAATATACAAGGCATTTCAAAAAAGTATGTATAATTGTAATTTTTATAAATAAATGACTCGTGTCTTATTTAAAGTGTAAGACCGCCAATAAATATATCGTAGATAATAATATCATTAGTAATGACTGCTATCATGATAAAAAATAAAAATTGTAATCTAAAGATAATATTTTAATAAGATTATGTTTACCTTATCCTACTTATATTAGTTCATAATGAGTTCATATTTAGTACAAAATAATACAGATCGTAATAAACCTTGCTATGTCTTTCGAGAAGCAAAATGAGTATAAGTTTAAATCCCATCGAGAGTGATTTACTCTAAAAATTATTGTGTAAAAAAAATGTTCTTTAATAACTTAGCAAGTAAGCACGCTAGTTTGCTCACAATTACCCTAGCTAATGGTAATTATGTAAATTTTGTAATATTAAATTAATTATGATTTGGCTTTTACAAAAAAATAATTACAACATAAAAAACTAAACATTAAGATTGTAGGACAACTCAGCATCGGTACTCTGTAACAGCTAATAGTATTTGAAATCCCAACTTCTTGAGATTTTATACCGTGCGACCTAAAGTTGCAACATCAGTGCTATGGATATAGACAGAAATAAAAATTGTATATAAAACGATCGGTATCGCCTCTAACCAACGGCTGATTTTAAGCCAGTATTCGCTTCACTTCAGTATGCTGTATTATATAAATAAATGGGTCTTTTTTAGGTGCGTGAAAACTTAACGCAAATTGTGCTGCACCAGAACGTTGTATCAATCGACGAAGTATCCGTTTTAGATGCGTCTGAGCGACCTGTATCTCTTCAAATACCAAATCCGTTTACAATTGATAGATATTATGAAATTGTTACCATCAACTTTGCTTCTGAGATCGTGCCAGGCACGTATATCATTACTATTAATTACAAAGGGCGTATTAACGAGAATCCTCATGATAGAGGCTTTTACAAAGGATATTACTACTACAATAACGAAAAACGGTAAGAGTTTAAACTTCATATACCGAAATTTTTCCAACCTCAAAACATGACACTATTCTTAGAACCAAACCAAAAATAAGGCCGTAGGTCTACAACAATCATAATTTACTATCTTCATATTTTGTACTATTTCATATGGAAGATATTTAACGAAAACCTTATAAAATCAGTACGTAATTTTAATTTTTTTAAATTGGTAATATAAAATCTACTAGTTTAACCTACGACACTCGAATTTGCAGAGATTGTGATTCGCACTATGTTTAGTTTCAACCAAACGCGCGGATTCCTGGCGAATCTTATTTTTGCTTTCAAAAATATCCGACAAGGGCAAACCTATCTTATTACTAATAAATACGAGTCATAATCAGCGTTTGTTTGAACTTTTAACAGTCGAAATAGTTTTAGAAACTTAGTTGTTTTCATTTATTTCTTCAGTTACTACGCAACAACCCAGTTCCAGCCTTACCATGCTAGAAAAGCGTTCCCCTGCTTTGACGAGCCTCAGTTCAAATGTCCATTCACCATAACGATTACTAGAGGTGCCAATCTACGGCCATCGTTCTCAAACATGGCTATTGCCAATACTAACGTGTAAGTATGAATAAACTTAAAAAAAACCGACTCCATTAATTGGTGAAGGTCTACAGGGACAAGGAAAAGGTTATTACCGAGAAATAAGTATCCGCAAAACTGCTTAATTGTATAATCGTATTACATTATATTGATTATTATAGTTAGTAAGAATAATTTCAACATAATTATATAATATAATTTTATTCATATAAATAACATTCGAAACGTTGAGTTAAGAAAGTAGTGTAATAGATAATAATTATCTCTTAATAGTTGAAATATATTAAACGATTAGGTAAAAAAGTATTTCAAGGTACGGATCACCGTTGACCATGCGAAGCGGGTCGCGTATTATTATTATTATGTATTATATTATCTAATGTATAAAATTCTCGTGTCACAATGTTCGTTCCCATACTCCTCCGAAACGGCTCGACCGATTTTTATGAAAATTTTTATGTATATTCTGTAATTCTGAGAATCGAGAAACCCCTTATGGACAAGGGGTGACCACCCCAAATTTAAATTTAATTTTTTTGATAAATTTTAATTTTTTTATTATGTATATAATACAACAACCTTATAACCAACCAACAATATACACCCTTAAATTTTCCCCAGTCTACGATCAACCCCTATTTTTATTTGTTAATAAATATGGTAATAAGTGCAAACCTTGACTGGACTGGAGCGTGTATTTTTATTATTTATTCCTTAAACTTTGAGGATATAGTTGAAAAAAAAAAAAAATTTAGTTTTATTTTGTACTTAGGTTTTTATCCGGAAAAGTGAACATCGCTCGGGGGCTTGAAAATCCATAATCTACATATTAAGGCGAAACGATGTTCGCGGGGGCAGCTAGCTATATATAATAATATAATTTGGATTAAGGTACTTTGTTCGCGAGCTTTTATATATAGTCCTCAAGTATTTTTATCTTAAACCTCAAAAAAACTTTTTTTTAACAGTTTACCATCCGGTAGAGTACAAGAGAGATTCAATCCTACACCTGTTGTATCATCCTATCTTGTAGCCTTCCACGTGAGTGATTTTGTTAGTACAAATTCCTCGGGTACAGTGCAGAAGCCCTTCCAAATCATCTCTCGCGAAGGACCCACTAACCAGCATAGCTATGCAGCTGATGTTGGTTTCAAAATCACGGAAATAATGGAATCGTACTTTAATATCAGCTACTATGAAATGGGCCAAGGTCGGGCAATGAAAAACGACCATATTGCGTTACCCGATTTTCCTTCTGGAGCTATGGAAAACTGGGGAATGGTTAACTATAGGTATGATTACATATAAATTTTAAATTATTAAAATAATTAGATTTAACTTATCCTGTATGATTAAACCACAAACGTCACAGAATTCTTAATTTTAATATGATTTATTACTAATTTGAATCAATAAATTGTTTTTGGTATTGGACAGAATATTTTTTAAGCATAAAAGCAGTACCATTAAACCAGAATTAGGTTGTAACGACATTAAAGTTATTGGCATGAACGAATATATTGCTAAAGCGGAGTAACTTGTCAAATACATCATGGTTATTTCGATTTAGTGAAACTGAACATAGTTTTAATGCTCAATCCTTAAATGTCTTTGAAACAAGACATAAATATTATACAAGATAAACGGAGGGAAGGAGCTAATGGAATTTGTACCAGGCTATCTTAATTTACGATATTAAATATTTCTTCATTTACACATTAAATTTCAATCTAAATTCTTCTTACAGGGAAGCCTACCTTCTATACGATCAGCAGAATACAAATGTTCTAGATAGACTATTTATTGCTACAATTATGGCCCACGAATTAGCTCACAAATGGTTTGGAAACCTTGTCACTTGCTTTTGGTGGAGCAACTTGTGGCTTAATGAATCTTTTGCTAGTTTCTTTGAATACTTCAGCGCACACGAGGTACTTATAAGTATTATATAATAATATTAATTATGTAGTTGGTGTCTGTAGTTTGATGTATTAAGAAATTTCAGGCAACAGTATATCTGTTCTGAATAGGCAGAAATAACGCCCCCTTATTTATCAAACATTCATGAGTAGCAATCGCAAATGTTAACTAAAGTACCTGTCTCTTTTAACCATCATCAATTTGACGGAGAGATACAAGATTGCGATTCTTTAAGCGTTCCTCTTTCGACCATTCTTATAGACCAATTTCGACCACTACTGCTCATCAGCCGCCTTTTTTTTCTTGCAGGCAGAGCCTTGGTTGGAACTAGATGATAGATTCATTCTGAATAGGGTACAGAGTGCTCTATCAGGTGATGCAAGCGCATCTATTCAGCCAATGAACTGGTCATCCGTAGCTGACAATCCCTCAATCTCTGCTCACTTTGGTACCAGCAGTTATGCGAAAGGAGCGTCTGTATTAAGAATGTTAGAACACTTCGTGACTCCTGTCGTGTTCAGAAATGCTTTAAGATACTACTTGAAAGATAAGTAAGTTTATATTTATTATATTTAGCTTTTCCTAACCCTCTCTGCAAAGGCGAAATAGTCTGATGTGTCTGTGCCAACATACTCAAACTCAAAATATCTTTATTAATGTAGGTAAACAAGTACACTTATGAAATGTCAGAAAGAAGTTAAATTAAGTTAATATCTCTTAAGTAAGAGTCTATTGATGCATTTTTTTGTTAGAAATATTAATATAATAATAATTCAATTTTATCATTTCTGTTGGATAGTGCTGCAGAAATCTTACACGCATATTTGCGGTATTTGCTTCGTTTTCAATTATACGCTTTACTGCTATGCTACGACTGAGATACTCTGAGCAACAGCTATAGAGGGATTTGTATTAAATTAAACAATTTAAAAAAAAACCCATTGATTAGCTTACTAGACAGTTAGCCAGAAGCGGATAGTTTAAATAAAGTTATGAAAATGAAGATTGGAACTTTTACAATCTATTCGACATAAATAGTATCTTTTTAAGTGTTAAATTACCGGCTTGCATTATTCGTAATTTGTCCTTCAACACGGATTGACCGATTTTTATTCTGAGAGAAGGTCGTGAGCTATTATTTACACCTTTAAGTGCCCTTGGCGCAGCCATATTTTTTTGACTACTTTTATTTTTTATGTCCATTTATAAACCGTTCTACCACTATATAAAAGAAACAGTACTACAGTAATCTTTATATTGCAAAATAACGTTTGAGAGTTAACACAGTATGTAATCTATTTAAGCGCTTATGGCATTGGATATCCTACGAATATGTATGCAGCCTTTAGACGTGCTGTCTCTGAAGATCCTACCTTCGCAATGGCTTATCCAGGAATCGATATAGGAACAGTTTTTGATGGCTGGGTTCAAAACGCTGGGGCACCAGTTGTTGAGGTCAACGTGAACATGACATCTGGATTAGTGTCACTTACTCAGGTATATTTTTTTCAATATGTTGATTTTCTTTATTTACGTGTTCCTGTCTAGGCACTTAATAAATTCTTAATTAATTAATTAGTCATAATCAATTAATTCAAGTTTGTATTGGACTGACGTTGTATGGAGACTAACAACAAGTAGTTTTATCTCGCTTTTCTTAAATTCACGTTTCTAGCGTCGGTTCCAAATTTCCGGAACGCCACGAAATGACATTTGGCAAATACCTATTTCTTGGACCCACGGTGACAGCCCCAATTTCCAAAGTACCGCACCTACATACGTTTTGACTCAGAGAACCGGAAGTGTTCAAAAGCCGACAGGAACAAGCTGGGTCGTTCTTAATATCGCTCAATCTGGTAAGATTAAATGATAAGGCGATTACAACAAACGTTATAAAAACACAATACTTGAAAGTATGTGTTCCAAAATAGCACTGATCTCATGATGTTTTCCACTTTGAAAAGTTTATTTTGTTTTTTTTTTAAGTAATTTTAATTATGAGTGATGTTTTAGAAGTTTGTGAGGCATAATTTTGAAATAATCCGCGTAGCAATTAGTTGCTCAAACAACTACACAAGTTGTAGTAAATTTGAAGTACTCTCTTACAATTTATTGTCTATATGTTAGGAATCTTTAGGATTTCAAAGAAATAAATGAACCACGTGTGTACCAGCTCCACATAGAAATAAAACCTAAACGTTTAGTTATCTTTCAGGTTTCTACAGAGTTAATTATGATAATCAGAACTGGGGATTATTAGCAGCTCAGTTGCGAAGTAATAAAGATGTTATTCATAAATTAAGCAGATCACAGGTAACTTCGTTTTCTTAAGGTTGTATGAAATATAGTAGTCAGTAACTAGATTAAACATATTATTCAGTAGACTGTTGCTATCATTGCTATTTTATAGATTGCACATACAATGTCCAATCGTCTTAGGTCTCACAGTAAATGTAGATTACATTAGGTATACTATACTATATTATTAATAAATAATAGTTAAAAAAAAGTAGAACCCACTCTTTTTCACAATAATACCAGTATTTTTTGTTCATTACAATTTTCGGCCTAAATTAGGAATTATTTTTCACTTTCGTTTGATGTGCTTTAACAGCGTGTGTTCTAGTTTTTTTAAACTATTTTTTATTTTTTAGTTAATTTTTTTTTATTTTTTCATTTTTTTTCGGATTATTGCATTGTCATCGATCTTTGACTGGTGCGCAAAGTTTGAATATAATCTATCCGTTAAAAGTGGGTGAAGTGAGTGGGTTACATACATACTACCATACATACATACATATATATATACAGGTGAAGCTAATATAAAGCGTGTAAAAAGAACATTTTATTCAAATTTATTTGTTACCAAAACATAAAACTAAGTATAGAGATATCGCATATCAAAAATGATGGCGCCGTTTTTCAGTGCATGTCTTATAAAAAAAAACTGTACACTATATAATGGTCTAAACAAAGTTAAAACAGGTTAACGGTAGGTACTTTAAAGGAATTTTGAATCTGGTTGTTTTGGAGGAAAGATACGATAAGAATACTGATATCTATGAATATTTTCTTTCTGAAATAATTAAGTTATTATATTATTTTAGATTGTTAATGACGTTCTATTCTTTATTCGTGCTGGTCAAATATCGATTCCTGTGGCGTTTGATGTTCTCTCTTTCTTGGCGAAAGAAACAGATTACTATGTATGGAACGGCGCATTGACCCAGCTGGAATGGATTCACAGAAGACTAAAGCATTTGCCTGCAGCTTATGATGAATTTACTGTACGTAATACATAGTTAACGCTAGTGTATGATGGTATGAAAATGAATATAGTGAAACATTTTTCTGTAGTAAATGTCTGTTTGTGACGACATTATCTATTACTAAAACTTTACATTTTATTGTAAACGATTACTGATAAACTACTAGATATATCTTTTTATTATTTATTTACTTAGATTAATTCATTTTAAATGAATGAAGAAAGAACCTATAATGTTTACTAGATAAATAAAAAAGGCAATTGTTATGTTAAAATCTTGCTAAAGGCAAATTTAACAAAAAACAGATACAACGATTACCTACCTCCTCTCGCGACAAACGAAAACAGGTTTCAGCTTTCAATCTAAACTAAATATGTATACAGGCCTACCTTTTGGATCTCATCGATGAGGCTGTAAAACAAATTGGATACGCTGATGGAGCCAATGATTCAGCGTCCACGATCCAGCAGAGAATGCAGATCCTTAACTTTGCTTGCAATTTAGGTCACCAAGGCTGCATTGACGACAGTCTAGCTAAATGGAATAGCTTTAGAACACAAAACACACCGTAAGTCCGCTTGGATTGGTGCAATGATCGAAACATAACGATTGTAATATTTGTTTATTCGATTGCTGTTCTATTTAATATTCTATAGATAGATAATGTCCTAGTGACTATCTAGTCATTATCTAGCTATCTAGTATTATATATCTATATAATGTGAGCAGTCGTAAGTGTTAGTAGTAGTAGGAATATGTTGAATTTATTTGTTTATAGATAATGAAAAATGTATATTACAGATTCATGTTATGATACTTTATACTGTAGTAATAATGTAAAGCAATAGTACGTAAAACAACAATTTCTGGTTCTTTCAGTGTGCAAATATCATCCCGTCGTTACGTTTACTGCGTTGGTCTACGCAATGGAAATGCTAGCGATTATCAATTCTTGTTCCAAAAATACAATACATCTGAAAACACGGCAGATATGGTCGTGATGCTTCGAACACTGGCCTGCAGTAAGGACCAGGCATCGATTGAACAGTAAGTAATCTTCTAGTTTTCGCACCAAATGATGTTTATTGTCATCTCCTTTCATTTATACTGACTTAAAATCATTATATTGTAAAATTATAATATTTCTTTTAAATATCAATCAATAGAGAAATTCGTCCGATAAAGAATTCATAATTTAAATATATTTATTAAATCAACTTTTCGGTTTCATGTATTTCAATTGTTTCTAGCTACCTCTACCAGACAATGCACAACGACAAAATCCGTGTACATGATAGAAACAATGCTTTCTCATTCGCCTTGCAAGGAAATAGCGAAAATCTGCAAACTGTACTCAACTTCTTATTCAAGAATTATGCTGAAATTCGGGAAACGTAAGATTTGTACCTTTCTTTACTAGATTGCTTAGGGCCCATTTTCCTCGTTAAAGTTTATTTAAACTGAAAATAAATATTATAAATACCATGTACCTTATTAAAATAAGCCGTTTTAATCATTATTATTATTATTAAATATTCAAATATTACCTCTTCAATCTTTTCACAATATTGAAATTTCATTTTCTAGTTATGGTGGAGCTGCCCGATTATCAAACTGCATATCTGCACTTTCTGGATTCTTGACTGACTTCGAAGACATTGTTAAGGTGATTTTTTTTTAAAATTAATTGAAATAGAATATTTCTCTGCAGTAATCACAGAGTACAAACTATTGTAATTTGTTGGTCTGCGAAATTGCCATCACATTGAACTTATTATAAACAAGAAATAATAATAATTAATTTATAGGCTGTCAGCCACACGACTATTTTAAAGACTACTCTACAGTATGAGAGATTTACTCTAAACTCTGAGTTCAATCGTTTAAATTTCGGCTATGCAAATAGATGTTCCTATCAAGTCACGGTGGTCTACTTAGCTATGAATGAAAATTGATCCAGTACACGAATTACGAAGCCAAGACAAACGAATGTAGTTGGACTGAGTGTTTACATTGCTTGATTTCAGACCAATAATATGTTTCATTTCTCTTTAATCAAACATTTAACTTATTTCAGTTCCAATCATGGTTGTACGAGAACCAGATCGCTATTGGTGAATCGTTCTCCACTGGCGTAAGTGTTGTCAATACAGCTGTAAACAACCTCCGATGGGGCAACAACGTAGCAGCTGAAATTTTTTCAGAGCTTCGTAGTAGAAATTCCGCCACTACCGCAACGACGTCGTTATTCGTCGTTATGTTGGCTTTAGCGGCTAAATTTGTATTTTAGTGAATAATAATATTTTTAATCATAATGTTGTTTGATTCTTATTCATTCTCTCTTCATTTCTGTAGGTCGTGTTAGTGGCGCCGCACAACTCCCTCCTCTCTCCTCCTCTCACTCCTGGGCAAGCCTCTGCGCCTGGGTGATAGAAAGACCCGTTGGTAACAAAATGACAAAAAACAATTTTTTACTTATAACCATCTTAGTATGGACACGTTTATTTCCTTAGCTGTCCAGGAAAACCTTAGCATCCGCCTACCACACCGCTTCTAGCTCTCCTGGTACCAGATTTTTATTGGGTTTATCAATCAATCACTTAAAATCAAAATATGTTTATTCAGTTTAGATGCGTCTTAGGGCATGCTTATGAATGTCAAAATCGTTTACAAAATTCGCGAAAGAGTAAGACTACGCCATCCGTTCGCAAATCTACCAGGAGGCCTTGTTCAGAGAAGAACGGGCAAGAAACTCAGCAAGTTTTACCCTCCCTCTACATTACAATTATTCAAAGGAAAATGTCATAAACCACAACGTCATTAAAGTTACAAAAGTAAAATAAAATAAAAGTCTGTTTTGTGATTTACCACATTCACCATTACACATATTATTCACAACACTTCAAAGATAACAAAACAAATTATAATAATATAATATGAACTATTGCCAAGCGTTTTTGTCTTCTAGGTAGTCTGTGTAGTAGTAACCTTTACACATTAATGTTTTTTTTTATATGTGTTTGGAATCTGTTTAAAGGCAGTTCCAATATTTCATAAGGAATCATGTTATAGCAGCGTATACTTACATATTTCTGCAACCTGTAAGATGGCTGGAAAAGTTTTCCCTTATTTCTTGTATTCCTACAGTGAATGTCACTGTTATTTAAAAGAGAACTAATATTACTACGCAGAAAAACGATACAGTTGTACAGATACGATACAGATATATTGGGATGGTAGCGTCAAAATATCAATTTCCTTGAACAAATTTCTAAGTGAAGTGCCTGGTTTCAAGCAATAAATTGACCTAATAGCACGTTTTTGCAAGATAAAAATAGATTGTATATCTGCTGCTTTACCCCATAAAATAATTCCATACGACATAACGCTGTGAAAGTAACTAAAATATACTATTCTGGTAGTATTTCTTTCTGCCATTCCTGTTTCCCAGTCCATATTTCCCCCCATTTTTTTTAAATCAAATTTTTTATTAAAATTATACGAGCTATTTACACTTAATACAAAAACACAGTATATTGTGGAGCAAAACTCATAGGGACAACCATATTCGTTGCTTTTGAGTATAATATATTGAGAATTAATTATTAAGAATTAATTTGAGAAATATATATTATAATAATTATACTACGTTTAGAATTGTTTAACGTATTTTATTCTTTATATAAAAGTGTAAGAACCCAACACACTGCCTTTTCAAATAAGCTTGGTCAGGGAAAATTCAGCCTTCTAATTGTGAAAGAAGTTTTTAACTGTGAAGATAATCCCGTACTTTAGAGTTAATTTGTTACAAAAATACATTATATATTGATTATGTTTTCTTCTTAACGTTATAAATAACAAAATTGACAGTAAAAAAAATATAAGTATATTTGTCTTTGTTAAGTTGCCAATTTCCTATGAGTCATCAAGACTTGCCCGTTTTTATATGCCAACAAATTGTCTTATATTTCGATCATAACTATACTCCACGATAAGAGAGTCACTATGCAGAAACCGCTGAAGATAGTTCCAGATGCTACCCTGCTAACCACGATGTTCAGACAAGAGTTACCGGCCTAAGAATCAAAATTGTGTACATAATCGCGTTATTCACAATTTATTAATATAACTGTGATCAACCACTTCGTAATCAAGGAAAACTCTTTTATGAATATTTCTTAAAAGTTCCCAATAATAATATAAGTACACATTAGTCAATATAATAATTATCTTTAATTTATAACAGATAAGACGATTTTCTATTGATAAAGGAAATAATTTCAATTTAATGTATTAGTTTAGAGTTTGATACCGGCTGGGTCACCATGGGTAAGTTTTATTCGCTTAAATATATTTGCTTTTAAAATAAAGTGAAAGCATAAAATTCTAAAACTGGTCTTTCAAAATTGGCAACATAAGTAAAATATTATTGAATAAAAAATAAATGTAAATTGAAAAATTACTTAAATTACTCATGTAATCGTTTGAAGACTTCAATAGAAGCTATAAAGAAATGTTCTTACTTGAAAAAGAGACTTTTGTTAAGAGATCATGATGTTTGCTATTTTCAGCAAAAAACAAGCTCATAAGTTGTGCTTCCACAACTACAAATGATTTTTTTATACGCCAGTGAGCATGACGTTGTTACAAAATACATTGCCTGGAGCATTTCTAAAATGTTTTCTAATTACATATTAAGATATTAGGTGGTTTGTTACATAAACAATATGTAGCTTTGTAAAAATGCTTTAATACATAATATTTTTTTTTATTAATCCTCGTTATTAATTAACGTAAACTATACAAAAATGAAATGTTTATACTAATGAACATATTTAAGTCCCAATCGCAAATTGTTATATCATTTGTAGGCGAATCCTATATGTACCAGACACGTAAACAAGGACGAATTAAAAATAAATAAAATATTATGTTTATTATGGAACATAAGATACATGTATCACTTATTCCACGTCATTAAATATGAACTTTTAGGCATCCCTACTCATCGGCAAAGAAGACAGAGGGTGTAGGCCGAGAGAAAAAGCCGGCGTAAAAAACTCTCGGTACTCTTTTAAAACAGCAAATCATCAAACAACACTTATTTAAAACAAATATCGCAAATTGATTAGAAGTAGCCTGTCTAGCACTAGTCCCAGGCCCTTTTATCAACTAGATAATAGTTGACTTTATAGTAAGCCTTTTTACACAGCCTTTCTTTAAACAAGGACGAATCAAATATAAATGCTTAACACTAAATACTCCAAACAAGAATCTCTACATACTGCAACTGTATCGTAATTAAAGTAGTTACGTGACATACTTTGTAATCGTGGCTTCGGTACTAATCATTAAACCATATTCTTTAATCACACAGTTAATATCAGACACCATAGCGTGTAATTATTAACACGGGCCCAATAGGTTTTTTGTATAATTTCATCATCATCGCAAGGGAAGTGGCATTTCTTGAAACCTCACAATCGTTAAAACAAATGCAACGTGTTTCTCTTATGTCATATTAAGGAATGGACTTTTTAGATCTGAAACTGCTGGTGACCATAATAGCCCTATCAGTGGGGCTGGCACATACCGAGCCTCAAGATGAACTTTATAGTTTTGAATGGATAGGATACAACACGAATTTGGATGACCCTAAATACAGACTCCTGGATAATGTTCAGCCTTTACAAATATCTGTTGATTTAGATGTATATCTAGAAGAGTCTAGGTTCAATGGTATCGTGCAGCTACAAGTTCAGGTTAGTTGTCATTTCGCTATATTTAGTTTTTTTGTTAATAAATCACATATATCGCAGATTAGAGGTAGGTTATATATATTCAATATAAATAAATTAAAGTAATAAGGAGGAGCGAAGCTATCCATTACATAATGATTCGTCACGTTTATTTTTTGGTAATTGACACGACGTTGAAAAAGCGAAATTAAAACTATTAAAATTACCAAATTTTCAAATTATGTTATCTGTTTTACTTCTTAATAGACAAAATGATTTAACTATTCAAGGTATTTCAAAAGTATGTATTTAATTATTAACTTAAAAAAATGTATAAATAAATGGCTCTTGTCTTATTAAACTATGTAATGCCGCTTATAAATATATCGTAGATAAAACATATCATTAGTAATGACTGTTATAAAATGCATGGTAAAAAAATAAAAATGATTGTAATCTATTGATAATATGTTTAATAAGATAATGTTTACCTTATCCTACTTACATTAGGCCATTAATGAGTATAAGTTTAAATCCCATTTAGAGTGATTTACTCTAAAATTTGTATTGTTGTACTAATATAAAAGTTTATGAATAATTTAGCCAGGTAATTGTGGTTATGTAAATATATTCTTCGGTGTAAAGAAGTACGGATGCTGAAGTCGACTTGTCTTACCCAAGCAATTTAACAAAAAATAGACAACACAAAAAACTTTTTTACACGAGACTGTTAAAACTAAACACTAAGATTGTAGGACAACTCAGCGTCGGTACTCTGTAAAAGCCATGGTACCGCGCAACCTTAAAATCAGTATATTTAGTTCTGTCTATATACATAGACATAAAAATTGTATTCAAAATGATCGGTATGTCGTGATTTTAAGTCAGTATTCACTTCACTACAGTATGCTGTATTATATTAAAAAAATTGGTCTTTTTTAGGTCAGTGAAAACTTAACGCAAATTGTGCTACACCAGAACGTCGTATCAATCGACGAAGTGTCCGTTTTAGATGCGGCTGAGCGACCAGTATCTCTTCAAATACCAAATCCGTTTACAATTGATAGATATTATGAAATTGTTACCATCAACTTTGCATCTGAGATCGTGCCAGGCACGTATATCATTACCATTAATTACAAAGGGCGTATTAACGAGAATCCTCATGATAGAGGCCTTTACAAAGGATATTACTACTACAATAACGAGAAACGGTAAAAAATTAAATATTTTTACAATTTCAAAACATGGCGCTATTGTTAGAGTATATCTTATAAGGCCGTATGACTACAATAATAATAATTTACTATCCTCCTTAGTTGTACTATTAAAATTTAAAGATATTTAACGACAACCTTATCAAATGGGTACGGTTCGTAAATTTTTGATTTTATAATGAAAGTCTACCATTTCAACCAACAACACTCGAATCTGCAGAGAGCCTGGGTTTGGTTTGGGAACGAAAACATTCCTGGCGAATCTATATTTTGTTTTATATCAGACAAGAGCAGATAGACTTGTGTTTCATTAAAGACAGAGAATATTATATTACTACGAGTAATAATAAAATATAAAGGAGTACATAATCAGCATTTGTTTGACCTTAAACAGGCGAAGTATTTTTATTAACTTAGTTGTTTTAAATTTATTTCAGTTACTACGCAACAACGCAGTTCCAGCCTTACCATGCTAGAAAAGCGTTCCCCTGCTTTGACGAACCTCAGTTCAAATGTCCATTCACCATAACGATAACTAGAGGTGCCAATCTACGGCCGTCGTTCTCAAACATGGCTATTGCCAATACTACCGTGTAAGTATGAAAAATAATTAATTGGTGAAGGTCTTTTAAAGAGAGAAGAAAAAGGTTATTACCGAGAAATATGTATCCGCAAAATTGCTTATATTTTATTAAATTATAATGATTATTATAGTTAGTATTTATAATTTCAGCATAACTCTGTTAGAAATTTAAATGCGAATTATTTAAATAAATTACAATCGAAACGTTGAGTTGAGAAAGTAGTGTAACAAATAATTATTGAAATATGTTAACCGATTAGCTGGTATAAAAAGTTTTTCAAGGCACGGATCACCGTCGACCATGCGAAGCGGGTCGCTAGTGTATTATAATATATATAATAATAAAATTTGGATTAACTTACTTTGTTCGCGAGCTTTTACAAACAGCCGAAATAGTTATTTTATCATTAACCTCAATGAAACTTTTTTTTAACAGTTTACCATCTGGTAGAGTACAAGAGAGATTCTATCCTACACCTGTTGTATCATCCTACCTTGTAGCCTTCCACGTGAGTGATTTTGTTAGTACGAATTCCTCGGGTACAGTGCAGAAGCCCTTCCAAATCATCTCTCGCGAAGGACCCACTAACCAGCATAGCTATGCAGCTGATGTTGGTTTTAAAATCACAGAAATTATGGAATCGTACTTTAATATCAGCTACTATGAAATGGGCCAAGGTCGGCCAATGAAAAACGACCATATTGCATTACCCGATTTTCCTTCTGGAGCTATGGAAAACTGGGGAATGGTTAACTACAGGTATGATTACACGGTTAATTATTATCATATTTGAGTTTGTGATTAGATAAGGCGTTAATTTAACCACAAACGTCACAGAATTGATAATATGGTTATAAAAATTTCAATAAGCTTTATTAACTTTAACGCACTACTGTCAGATACCATTAATTTGAATTGATAAGTTGCTTTTGTATTGGATAGAATATTTTATAAGCAATACAATTAAACCAGAATGAGATTGTAATTACATCAAACACCATTTTTTTTTTCAAAATAACTTGTCAAATACTTCTTAGCCATCTGGATTTAGTAAAACCGAACATAGTTTTTAATGCTCCTTTACTGTTGGAAACAACAGTTAGAACACGATATAAATATTATACCTATAAGATAAACAGAGTGTAGGACGTAATTTAACTTGTTTTTAACGTAATGTAAATTTCCGATATCATTAAATAAATATTCCTTTATTAACGACTAATCTTGCATTCTAATTTTTCTTTCAGGGAAGCCTACCTCCTATACGATGAGCAGAATACAAATCTTCAAAATAGAATATTTATTGCTACAATTATAGCCCACGAATTAGCTCACAAATGGTTTGGAAATCTTGTCACTTGTTTCTGGTGGAGCAACTTGTGGCTGAATGAATCCTTTGCAAGTTTCTTCGAATTTTTCAGCGCACACGAGGTACATACTTATAAGTATACTATAACAAGATTTTCATGTAGTTTGTGACTGTAGGTTGATATTTAATCGATGTTCAGGAAACAATCTATCTAACGGACAAAACTGACCAACCCTTGTTTATGCAAAAATAACTCCGCTATCGCAAAACGAGTAGCAATCGCAAATTTAAATAAAGTATTATCTGCTTCGACCACTACAGCTCTTAATCCGTTTTTTTTTCTTGCAGGCAGAGCCGTGGTTGGAACTAGATGATATATTCATTCTAGATAGTGTACAGAGTGCTCTATCAGGTGACGCAAGCGCATCTATTCAGCCAATGAACTGGTCATCCGTAGCTGACAATCCCTCAATCTCTGCTCACTTTGGTACCAGCAGTTATGCGAAAGGAGCGTCTGTATTAAGAATGTTAGAACACTTTGTGACTCCTGTCGTGTTCAGAAATGCTTTAAGATACTACTTGAAAGAAAAGTAAGTTTATATTTATTATATTTAGCTTTTCTTAACCCACGCTGCAAAAGCGAATAAATCTGATATATGTGTGTCTGTGGCATCATAGCTCTTAAACATATGGATCAGTTCATTGAATCATTTTTATTCAGCTCTATTTGATAGTATCTGCAGAATTCTTACATGCATATTTGCGGTATTTGATTCGTTTTCTATCTAACATATTTATGTTTTACTGGTATGGTATCTTTCTATTGAAAGTTAATACCCATTTTTATTTAGTTTACTTGCCGGTTGGCCTGGGGCGGCTCCATTCGATATAGATTTGTCTTTTATAAATGTAAAATACCGGAAAATTTGGCCTAACTCAATTGTTTTTTATTTACAACTTTTATTTTATAACCTCCATTCGAATTATACACCGTTCTGCCATCGTCATTAAAAAAAGTATAACGATATTAGTAATGTAGTAATCTTTTTCTCTGAGATAACTCTCAAACGTTATTTTGCAATAAACTAATATAAGTAATTGCCAACTCAAAGTATATAATATATTTTAGCTCATATGGCATTGGATATCCTACGGATATGTATGCAGCCTTTAGACGTGCTGTATCTGAGGATCCTACCTTCGCAACCGCTTATCCAGGAATCGATATAGGAACAGTTTTTGATGGCTGGGTTCAAAACGCTGGCGCACCAGTTGTTGAAGTCAACGTGAACATGACATCTGGATTAGTGTCACTTACTCAGGTATATTATTTTGTAATATTTTTTAGGGAGTTAGTACGAACATCTTATTTATTATATTTATTGATGTGTTAATATATTATAAATTCTTAATATTTTTTTTCATTATTTTTGCAAAAATGGAATTGCATTCACTTTAGTTAATTCATGTTTGTATTGGATGTACCTTGTATGGAGACTAAAAACAAGTAGATTATCTTTATTTACATTTCTAGCGTCGGTTCCAAATTTCCGGAACTCCACCAAATGACATTTGGCAAATACCAATTTCTTGGACCCATGGTGACAGCCCCAATTTCCAAAATACCAGACCTACATACGTTTTGACTCAGAGAACCGGAAGTGTTCAAAAGCCGGTTGGAACAAGCTGGGTCGTTCTTAATATAGCTCAATCTGGTAAGATTAAAGGATAAGGCTTTATAATAGGCTTTTGTGTTAGGTGTGTGTTCCAGAATAGCACTGATTTAATTATTGTGAGGTTGTGAGGCAGTATTTTAATAAAAACTACACAGATCGTAGGAAATTTGAATTATCTTTAAATTTGAATTAACCATTACATTGTACCATAGTTGGTGTTGTTGATTATTTATGTAAGGAATCTTTAGGATTTCAACTAAATAAATGAACCACGTATGTACCAGCTCCACATAGCAAATAAAACCTGAACGTTTAATTATCTTTCAGGTTTCTACAGAGTTAATTATGATAATCAGAACTGGGGATTAATAGCAGCTCAGTTACGAAGTAATAAAGATGTAATTCATAAGTTAAGCAGATCACAGGTAACACTTAGTTAATATAAATTAACTAGATTTGACATATTTCAGTAGAGTTGACTGTTGTTATCATTGCTTATCTTATAGATTGAACATACGTTAACAATCGTATTAGGTCCAATATAATCTGTACTGTGCATTAGGGCACAGTACAGATTATATACTTTTCTATATTATCAAAATGAACATTTTATTCTAACAAAAACTAGAGAAAAAGAGACTTTTTCTCTTTCTGTCTCATTTACATAACAAAATTGAATACTATATAGGCCTAATTAAATTAAAGCAAGCAAGGAACAAAGTAACGATAAGAATACTGATGTCTATGAATAATTTTTTTCTCAAATAATTAAATTATTATATTATTTTAGATTGTTAATGACGTTCTATTCTTTATTCGCGCTGGTCAAATATCGATTCCTGTGGCGTTCGATGTGCTCTCTTTCTTAGCGAAAGAAACAGATTACTATGTATGGAACGGCGCATTGACTCAGCTGCAATGGATTCACCGAAGACTAGAGCATTTGCCTGCTGCTTATGATGAATTTACTGTACGTAATACATAGTGTACACTAGTGTATGATGGTATAAAAATTAATATAGTGAAACATCTTTCTGTAGTAAGTGTCTGTGTGTGAGGGCATTATTTATTACTAAAACATTACATTGAATTGTAAGCGATTACTGGAAAACTACTAGATATATCTTACAATTATTTATTTACTTAGATTAATTCATTTTAAAGGAATGAAGATAGAACCTATAATGTTTACTCAGTAAATCAGGAAGGCTAAAGCTACGTTAGAAACTAGGTAAAAGCAAATTTACCAAAAAACACAGATACAATTAATACTTTACCTACTTGATCTCGCGGCAAACGAAGACAAATTTAAATCTAAACACTATGTATACAGGCCTACCTTTTGGAACTCATCGATGAGGCTGTAAAACAAATTGGATACGCTGATGGAGCCAATGATTCAGTGTCCACAATCCAGCAGAGAATGCAGATCCTTAACTTTGCTTGCAATTTAGGTCACCAAGGCTGCATTGACGACAGTCTAGCTAAATGGAATAGCTTTAGAACACAAAACACACCGTAAGTCAGTTTTGCGCGCAATTACTGAAACATAACCATAGTAATATAGGTAATGTCTTAGTGACAGATATTATACTGATACTTTATTCTGTAGTAATAATGTGAAGCAATAGTTTAAAAAAGGTTTCGATATAAAACTATCCCGATTAGATGCAGTAAAAAAGCAAAAATTATAAGACTTAAAAAAACAATTTCTCGTTCTTTCAGTGTGCAAATATCATCCCGTCGTTACGTTTACTGCGTTGGTCTACGCAATGGAAATGCTAGCGACTATCAATTCTTGTTCCAAAAATACAATACATCTGAAAACACGGCAGATATGGTTGTGATGCTTCGAACACTGGCCTGCAGTAAGGACCAGGCATCGATTGAACAGTAAGTAATCTTCTAGTTTTCGCACCAAATGATGTTTATTGTCATCTCTTTTCATTTATACTGACTTATAATCATTATATTGTAAAATTATAATATGATTTCTTTTAAATATCAAATTATAGGGAAATTTGTCCGATAAAGGAGTTCCTAATTTAAATATGTTAATTAAATCAATTTTTCGGTTTCATGTATTTCAATTGTTTCTAGCTACCTCTACCAGACAATGCACAGCGACAAAATCCGTGTACATGATAAAAACAATGCTTTCTCATACGCTTTGCAAGGAAATAGCGAAAATCTGCAAACTGTACTCAACTTCTTATTCAACAATTATGCTGAAATTCGGGAAACGTAAGATTTTAACTATGAAATGTTTAAGCCAAAATTAATTATAATCAAATATTAAGTCTTCAATCTTTTCACAATATTGAAATTTTATTTTCTAGTTATGGTGGAGCTGCCCGATTATCAAACTGCATATCTGCACTTTCTGGATTCTTGACTGACTTCGAAGACATAGTCAAGGTGATCTTTCTTCAAAATCAATAGAATATTGCTCTGAAGTAATCTCAGAGTACAAACGATTGTAATTTATTGGTCTGACAAATTGCCATCCCATTGCATTTTTTTATAAACAGGAAACTGTAATATTTATGGGTAGTCAGCCACACGAATATTTTAAAGACTACTCTACAGTATGAGAGATTTACTCTAAACGCTGAGTTCAATCGCGTAAATTTCGGCTATGCAAATAGATGTTCCTATCGTTTTACGTAAACAAGCGCGAGATTTAAACCGTAATCATGCGTAAAACCTAAAAATTAAAGGTCAAAAATTAAAGTCCCGGTGGTCCACTTAGATATGATTGAAAATTGATGCAGTACCGACAGAATAACGAGGCCAAGACAAACGAATTTTATTTTATTTTTATTTATTGTTGAAGAATGCGTTCTTTACATTTTTCACACTAATATTATGTTTCATTTCTCTTTAATCCAACGTTTAACTTATTTCAGTTCCAATCATGGTTGTACGAGAACCAAATCGCTATTGGTGAATCGTTCTCCACTGGCGTAAGTGTTGTCAATACAGCTGTAAACAACCTCCGATGGGGCAACAACGTAGCGGCTGAAATTTTTTCAGAGCTTCGTAGCAGAAGTTCCGCCACTACCGCAACGACGTCGTTATTCGTCGTTATGTTGGCTTTAGCGGCTAAATTTGTATTTTAGTGAATAATAATATTTTTATTTTTAATTATAATGTTGTTTGATTCTTCTTCAGTCGCACTTTACATTTCTGAAGGTTGTGCTAGTGACACTGCAAAACTTTCTCCACTCTCCTCCTCTTACTCCTGGGCAAGCCTTTGCGCCTGGATGCGGAAAGACCCGTTGGTAACAAACTATCAAAAGAGGATTTTTTACTCAGTATTGTCTTTTATTGAGATAACTTTCACACATTTAATAATAAAACAATTTTTACCGGATTGAAGTTATGTACAGTATAATCTCACTAATCCGGCACTTCGATAGATCGGCACGTCCTATAATCCGGCACCCTCCGCCCACGCCTCCTTCACCCCTCTATACCTGTGCGCTTCGATCGCTGCGTCGTCAACTAGCAGTCTAACCTCAAAACTTATCACGTGCACGTGCTTACGTATTTGTTTTTTTTCAAGTGAGAATAGGTTATAGTTAAAAATTTCGAATAAACGCAAACACAAGACACTAGATTTGTTTATTTTATTAATTACCTATGACTTTTTCACTATAATCCAGTAATCCGAACATACCAATAATCCGGCACTCTCAGGTTTTTAATAGTGCCGGATTAGTGAGATTACACTGTATTTACAATTATTTTTCGTAATCCGGTAAAAAATTGTTTTATTATCAAACGTATTTCGTTCTTTTAATCTGTGCTATCTCGCATCTACATCGCTTGTCTCTATTTTTAGTGCAATATACCTTTGTATGAATGCATCCCTTCATCCATCCCAATACTTGTTTCTTTTTTTTTTTTTTTTTTTTATAGAACGGGGGGCAAATGGGAGGAGGCTCACCTGATGTTAAGTGACACCGCCGCCCATGGACACTCTCAATGCCAGAGGGCTCGCGAGTGCGTTGCGGCCTTTTAAGAATTGGTACGCTCTTTTCTTGAAGGACCCTAAGTCGAATTGGTTCGGAAATACTTCAGTGGGCAGCTGATTCCACATAGTGGTGGTGCGCGGCAAAAACTGCCTTGAAAAACGCTCAGTTGTGGAACGGCGGACGTCGAGGTGATACGGGTGGAATTTCGTATTCTGTCTCGACGTCCGATGATGAAACTCAGCTGCAGGTATTAATCCGAACAACTCCTCTGAACACTCTCCATGGTAAATGCGGTAGAAGATGCAGAGTGACCCCACATCTCTACGCAACGCCAAAGGATCGCCGTTTGGAGAGGGATTGGTCGTCGACGATTCGAACCGCTCTGCGTTGTATACGGTCAAGTGGAAGGAGCTGGTACTGGGGAGCCCCGCCCAGAGGTGAGAGCAGTACTCCATGTGGGGCGAATTTGCGCTTTATATAGTTGCATGCGGTGGCCGGAGTGAAGTACCGCCTCGCCTTGCTGAGCACACCAAGCTTTTTGGAGGCTAATTTAGCCTTTTCCTCCAAGTCACCGCGAAACTGAACGTCGTTCGATATGTCAACGCCAAGTATTCCAATGCTGGCTGTGGCTTTAAGAAGAGTGTTTTGAAAAGAGGAGTAGCGACAAAGGGTGATTTTTTAGCGGAAAACGCGCAAACTTGTGTCTTCTTGGGGTTAAATTGGACTAGGTTTTGTGAGTTGAGACTCAGTAGTAGGGTTTCGACTTCAGACACAAGTTTGTTCAGGTACTCATCAACAACTGCCCGAGAAATACCTGCCGGCCAGTGTAAAAAGTATCCCCAGTGCTGTCATCGCATAGCAATGAATGTTGTAAGTTGCAACATATCATTGATATGCAAAATAAATAGGGTGGGGATAGAACAAGCTTGTGGGACCCCAGCGTTCACAGGTTTAAGGTCGGAACATGCTCGTCGATGACGACCTTGATGCTCCGATCGGCCAGAAAGCTGAGATCCAATCGCATAATTTCTGGGAAGCCCATAGGCTGGAAGCTTCGAGAGCAGTGCTCTGTGCCACACCCGATCGAAGGCTTTCGCTATGTCCAAACTTAGCCAGCGCCTCCCTTGGACTCAATTGCCTCTGCCCACCTATGGGTAAGGTATACAAGGAGGTCAAGCTGAGCGACCACGACGAAAGCCGTACTGAGAATCGCTAATCAACTGGTGGCCCTCTAGATACCACAAGAGCTGGCAATTAATAATGTTTCCATTATTTTTGGAGAAAAGGAGGTTATAGCTATTGGGGATAGTTGGACGGATCAGAGCGATCGCCTTTTTAGGGATCGGATGTATGAAGGGTCTTCCAGCATTGGGACAGTGCCGAGCGAGTACAGGTACCGAAAAGGCGGTTAAGACCGGAGCCAACTCAGGAGCACAAGTACGCAGCACAATTGGGGGATACCATCGGCCGCTCGACTTATGAATTCAAGGAAGATAGTGTTTGCGGACAGCACGTTGGGAATGTGATTTGGATCGAAGAATCACACCGGAAATGGTGGTGGTGATCTTCCTTGTCATCCAAAGTGAGTTGGACGGAAGAGACAGCTCAAAAGGTCGGCCTTCTCCTTGCAGTGTGGGCTGAGAGTCATCCTCCCTGTGCAGTGGCGGAATGGCGGGCTGACAAAAATTCTTGGACAGCTTTGGGAGAGACCAGAAGGCTCGAGTCCCTGAAGGAGCTGGGCCAATCTCTCGCCAAATTGGCAATGTGCTCTGACTTTGCCTTAGTATTTCCGTTTGAAGAACTGGAGGCTGAGTTATATGTGTTTTAAGTTGTGGTATTGGATACGAGATTTCGGTTGCCCATGCCTTAAAGCATTCTGTTTGAGGAGGGCCTTGCAAGAACGTTTAAACCAGGGCTGAGACTTGCCACCGATCGGCACCGCAGAAAATGGAATAAAGAGTTCCATGCCCTGCAGAACCACTTCGGCGACAGAGGGGCGACGGAATCTGAGCTTCCGGCGAAAAGCACATAGGCCCCCAAGGGTAGGACGCAAAGAAAGACCGCATCCCGTCCCAATCTGCTGACTTATAGTGCCAAATACGGCGACAACCCATAAAGGGGGCGTGAAGGGCGCGTAGATGGCACAGTACTCCGGACCACACAATGATCCGATGAACCCAATAGCGGGTCAACAGAGACTTGATAGTTCTCGGATGTGAAGTAGAAAGGTCAACAAAGAGGGTTTATGACCATCCACATCTGGTATTGGTAATCGAGGGACCATTTGTGTCGGTCGTAGGCTAAAGCAAAGTGTGAAAGGATCTTCGGTGATGGTGTTTAGAGCGAGCCAATCGGATGGTGGGGTTAAAATGCCAAGTATCACGATTTCAGGGTAGGAACCCTTTCGAGCAGGGAATCTGTAGCATTTGATGTGCTCAATGAGTCGGTCAGTTTCGGTATTTCGCTATGGGACCTATACAGGCATGCGTAGAATCGCGGATGGTCATGAGTCAAGCGCAGAGAGGTTAGATAGTCCCTTCCTTCAAGCGTCCGAGGCGACGAGAAAGATATCCTTTGACGTACAGACTCCGCCGCGGCACAAATGAATTTAATTTGTACCGTAAAGGTAGGAAGTATCAGCGGGGAGGAAATTGAGTCTGGTAAGAAAGAGAAGGCCCTTGCAGTCTCTAAATGTAGTGGACTGGTTGATATGAATTAGCCCCTAACATTTGTGAATCAGGCGAGGGAGGGGGTGCTTTGTTGAATTGTTTGCCGAGAACGATTACTGTTTTGTTGAGGAGAATTGCCCCCAGAATAGAAGGGAGCCTGTGGTCACCACAGTGCTGAGTGTGGTTTGGAGCTAGAGGGGATTCTCAGCGAGGGTGTGGTACCTGGGGTAGATTTGTGTTGCACTTCATATTTCATATGGGGGGAGGGGAGTCTCCTCACCGTACGAAACGCGAGTACAATAAGGGAACTATTGCCTCACTTCACGCCGGTTTTCTAAGAAAGTGGTACTGCGTAGCCTGCCCATTTGGCTGAACAAGAACAGCATGGCACTCCCACTAGGAAGGGGTTGACTGATTGGCTGATGAAATAACCTCTGTCACAGGTTATTTCAAGTGGGGATGGGGTCGTCACGTCGAGCGACACTCTAAACTATTCAAGAAGGTTATAAAATAAATAAATCAGTGGCGCTACAACCTTTTTTAGGTCTGGATCTTAGATTTCTGTATCTGTTTTATGATCATTTGTCAATCTCATAGGCAAGTAGGTGATCAGCCTCCCATGTCTGACACAGGCCGCCGACTTTTTGGGGCTAAGGTAGCCATGTTAAATGCGCACATAGAAAGAAAGTGCATTGGTGCACTGCCGCTGATTGAACCTACGACCCCAAGGATGAGAGTCGCACGCTGAAGCCACTAGGCCAACACTGCTCCATTTATCAGTATATTATCAAAAAATATATTAAAATAATTAAACACGTTTAGAATTGTTTAACGTATTTTATTTTTTATATAAAAGTGCAAGAACCCAACACGCGGCTTTTTCCTGTTTTGCACAGCTGGACGTTATTTTTTTTATTTTGAAAATAAGCTTAATCAGGGAAAATTCAGCCTTCTAATTGTGAAAGAAGTTTGTTTGTTAATACATTATCTATTGATTATATTTTCTTCTTTAACGTTATAAATAACAAAAAGTGACAGTAAAAAACATAATAAAGTTAATACCTTAAAAATACTCTATATTTTAAGTTTGTCTGTCTTTGTTTCATTGCCGAGAAATTCAGAAACTATGCATGAATAGCCAATTGCCTATGCGACATGAATATAATATATACCTACTGGCTGCCCCCGCGAACTTCGTTTCTACTTAATGTGATTTTACTTAGCCTACCTTTTTAGTACATACCAACATGGAACATTTTGCTTTGCTACCCCAGAGACTGTTCGATTATCGGGAATGGAAACTTTTTAGGGAGAATTTTTTCTTATACTTCAAAGTTCAAGTCATAAGATTTTAATTTACAAATAAAAATAGGGGTTGATCGTAGAGGGGTGAAATTTAAGGGTTGTGTGTATTTACGTACGCTGTATCATAAAAATTATATGAAAAAATTAAAAAAAGGGGTTGACCACCCT